TTTAGTTTTGGATTGCTTCTTTTATTTTCTCAGCTGTTTCCTCAAAAATTCCAAGATGACTTTGGGATAACAGGGCTATATATAAAGCCACTATTTGTCAAGAAGGGTGTTATGAGGTTTATAATTTATAATTCAAAACCATAAATAACTTGTTTAAAATGACAGTACATATATATGGTCTTTTATGGATAGAGAACTATAGTAAGTAAAAATAACAATGATTTTTATTCAGAATTCTTTCCTCATTTCTGAATTCTTAAATTTGTTTCGTGTGCTATTACTGTACATACGGGCCCTTAATTTTCATTTCCTCCAGAATCCACATACAAGTAGGTATAGGGTTAATTGTAATACAGTGCTTGGTCTTTTGAGCTCTTGTTCCTCAATAGGTGTCTCAGGTTGCCAGTGTTACAATCCCAAATACTTTGTTGAACAGACTACCTGTTCATACAGGAGCTGCATTGTTGTATAGCCTCATTCCTTCCGATGGGTGTGGAGCAGGATTAAAGCACATTTTATAGGGGTTCTAATTGTAGATGCCTAATTGACTTGATGAATAGCAGATGCTAAAATTTAAACACACACATACACACACACAAACCTGTTTCAGGAGTGATCTGCGTGACAGAACAGATGCTTTACAGGTGTTGAATGCTTATGAGATAAAAGAGTAGTCTTTCCATATTTCTCAAGAATTTTCTTTTGAAGTTTATATGGATTTTCTATCTTATTGTTTCTTTTTTATTTAAGTAGTTCACGGCAAGAAGCTATTTTATCTTTGGGTGTACTTTTCACTTCTAAAGGCAGATGAGTTTTAATAGTCAGCCAAAATTTAAAAACAGGAACTTTTTTTTTTAATGATTATTATTTTTTAATTAATTAATTTTTCCAAATACATTTGTCTCCGCCTTCCCCCAACTACTTTCCTCTATCCCCCTTCCCCCTCTCTCTCCCTCAATCCTTCCCCTTTGGTTTTGTCTATGAGTCCTTGCTATATGTTCCTTGACTTGCCCCTTCCCTTCCTTTTCCCCTGCCCAACCCTCCCTCCTTCCCTCTTGTCTCTGTTGGTTTCTTTTTCTTTCAGTGTTGCTGGTCTTATTTTACTTGCATCTTTGTTTTGTTGGTTAGGTTCCACTTATAGGCGAGATCGTATGGTATTTCTCTTTAGCCCCCTGGCTTATTTCGCTTAGCACAATGCTCTCTAGTTCCATCCATGCTGTCGCGAAGTGTATTAGTTCTTTTTTTCTTTCTGATGTGTAGGATTCCATTGTGTAAATGTACCATATTTTTTGATCCAGTCATCTACTGATGGGCATTTAGGCTGCTTCCAACACTTGGCTATTGAAAATTGGGCTGCTATGAACATTGGGGTGCATAGGTTCTTCTGAATTGGCGTAAAAACAGGAACATCTTTCAAAAAGTAAATTTCCATACAATTTGGGAAGAGGAGAACAGAGTAGAAAACTGCTGACTATAGTTTTTGGCCTAGTAGGGTTACAAGTCCTTTTCTTAATTCTTCAGGAATGATTTGATGTTATACTAAGTACGTCCAAGGTCTCAAGAGTTTTTCCTCATTACCTGAAAAAGAAACTTCTCAAGTTAAAAACATGACTGATAGATGGAAAAGATTTTTTAAAAATAAAAACATCAAAGACCACACCAGTTTTTATTTTTAATGTTCTTAAAATTGTTTTCCCTTTATTATGTTTTAAATTTATCAGTTTTCCAACTCTCTTAGGACAATTATTTTTCATAATTTTTTAGCTTTTTATAGAGTTACCATGTAATTGTAAGAAACAATACAAAGGTGTATTTTATACCCTTTGCCCAGTGCCCAGTTTCTCAAATGTTAGCGTCTTGTATAACTATAGTACAATATCACAACCAATAAATTGACATTGATATATCTGCCAACCTTACTTAGATTCCATCAGTTTTATGTGGACTTATATGTGTATGTTTAGTACAGTGCAGTTTAATCATATATGTAGATTCCTGTGACTACTACCAAGGATCTGTCATGCCACCCTTTTAAGTCCCCGGCCATCTTCCTATTACACCTCCAACTTCTACCACCTGGTAATCTCTGTTCTCAATCTCTATCATTTTGTTTTTTCAAGAATATCATATAAGTAGAATAACATAGGATGTAGCCTTTGAGATGGGTTTTTTTTTTAACTCAGCATAATTTCTTTGTGATCCATCCAAGTAGTTGCACATATCAATACTTCATTCCTATTTATTACTGAATAGTACAAGGATGCACCACTGTTTTTGGTTTGTTTGCTTGTTTTAAACAATTCACACATTCAAGGATATTTGGGATGTTCTGGTATTTGACTATTATGAATAAAGTTGCTACGAATGTTTGATTATAGGTTTATTCATAAGGTTTTCTCAGTATTTTATTTAGTAAAATTATGGGCCATAGAAGTGACTGTAAAATGTATCATAGCAGTTGGATATTTCATAGAGGTGAGATTTGATATTTAGGGCAAAAATGTAATGCAAAAAAATTCTCCAGGGCTGTCATTTTTTTTTTTATAGTATCTGGATTTCCTGACATTAAATTATTATCACTTGGGACAATAAGAAAAGGTGACTTCCCTATCAGTATCTATGTGACTTTTAACTTCATCCCTGGTCAGCACTTTTGAAGGGGAGATGGTAGCAAAATATATAGGTTTATTTTTAAAACTTATTTGTCTTAAATTATGTTGTTTAGAAATTGTCCTAAATTAAACAGATAATGAAAAATCTCATTCTTAAACATGACAAATTTGTTAATGTTTCTATATACATTATATGGAAAACTTTTCTAACTGTATAACTTTCTAGAATCCATAAGACAAGTAATAATTTTTTATTTTTTTAGAAATCAGTCAGCTAACAACTATTTATTGGGGACTAACTGCCCTAAGTAAGATGAATTCTTGGATAGACACAGAATTTTTAAACTTTCTAAGCATTATTTTTAAAAAGTAAATAAAATATCCACTGTTCTTGAACCAAAGTGGGGGTTTGGCTGCCCGCTGCCACCAATAGGCAAATTCTGGAGGCAGAGGTTGGTGAGAAAGGAAGAGGTCTTAATTCAAATGCTGCACAGTCTGGGAGAATGGCATATTCTTGTCTCAAAAGCCCATCCACTCAGGAAACCCAGAGGAAAACCCAGCTACCTTCAGCCAGGCCAAAACCAAAGGAAGCATCCACAGTTTCTGCTCATTTGAAATGCTGTCCTTTGGGAACCACAGGTGGCTGCTGCACAATAATCCTGATGGCTTAGCTTGTTCCCAGCAGCTGTCTGGCTTCAGGCTCCTCCTTGGAGCCCATGTGTGGGGCCAGAAGTTCCCACAAATGCAGCAGCCAGTACATTCCCAAGCTGGGCATGAGAGCCAGAGCCCATCCCTTCCTTTCCCTGAGTTTATATTAGTTTCGGGTGTGGGCCAGAGCAGATGTTTTTCTTAGCCCAAACTTCTGTGTGCTCAGGAGGGTCTGGCCCCCAATCAATCCCTTCTTTTCCCCAGGCTAGACTGACAGTTTCCTTCCATACAGTGCCCCGCCTACCTGCCCCCACTCTCCCACCCCCCGCCCCCATTGCCATTCTGACCTCCATGGAGCATGTGCCTGCCGTCACCAATTAGGAACCAGAAGGGGATATGAGGGCTTTTCCCTCCCATCCATTGTCTCACTAACTTTGTACACGCTTAGTGTAATGTCTTCCTGTCACCATCGTGCCCAGCAGGCGGGGGATCTGCTTCCAGGCCACCTGTTTACCACAACTGGGAAAATTATAAGATAGTAAAAAAATTTGCTTTAGGTATCAGAGAAAGTACACACAGAAGCTTTCCCACCCTTTATGATAATCACTTTGCAGAAAATAGCATAGAGAAAACCAAACAGTTGTGTTGCTAAATAGGCTTAATATTTTTTATTTAATGGTTTTAATAGTTATATATTAGTCTATCAAGAGTTTATATCGTATTTCACTTAAACATGTCACAATTAAGCATTTTATATTGCTATAAATTGTTTACTGTTCTTTATGACTATGAATTCATAGTTCGGATTATATTCCTAGGTTAGAATCCAAGATGTGAGATATTTTTAAAAAAACAAAGAGTCCTGTAACTTACTGCTAGATTGTTTTCCAGAACAATTGTGTCAATTTATCATATCTCCAGCAAAGTATGGGAGTATAGTTTTACAATGCTTTTATCAATATTGGGTATTAAAATTTTGCTAAGTAATTTCTTTCAGTTTGGGTTAGTTGCTAGTGATATATTTTGAAAATATTGGATATATTTTCATGTTTGTTTAATGGCTGTTTTTCTCCTTTTAATTATTTCTGAAAATTTGAAATGTCACTTTATTTTTGTCTCTATCTTTCTTGCTGTTTCAATGCCATCTGCCTGCATCCTTCACAATAACTACCCAAGTTCCATAGGCATTGGTCTTCTCTTGTGTTTTGTATCAGACTCAATTAAAATTAAAAATACACATAACATATCCAGAGATAAAAATACTAGTGCCCTTTGTTAAGTACTTTCCACAAGCAATTTTGCTTCTAGCCCAGGACTTCCTGCCACAATCTATTTTAATCCCAGGAGACTTGAGCCTACATAAGCACTATTGCTGTTAGCCAATATATAGACTGTGTCAGAACCTAGACCTTCATTTATGCTAACATCTAATTATATGCTTACTCCTGCTATTAGAAAGGAAGTAACTCACTTTAGGTTGAGAAAATTTCACTCTAGTTGTCTGTCATATAGTGGAGTAAAAACAATAACGTTACAGATATACATCTTGTGATCTTAGGGTATATAAGTAAGGGAAATAACTCTCTTCAAACTAACAGGACCTGGCTCATTATTCAGAGGCCAGTCTCAAGTGACTTGAGGGTGTAGCATTAAGCTCATAAAGAGATTTAGATTAACTGCTTTAGAAATGGTAAAATGTGTACATAAGATAGTATGATTTTTTTCCTTTTTATTTTTCAGGTTTACAAGTGAAAATAACCAAACTGAAAAAGGAACGAATTTTGTAAGTATCAATATATGACTGACTGTAATGTCTTATTTATAAAGTAATTTATACTAAAGTCCTATTTGACCTCAATGTTTTATTTATAAGAAAATTAGCTTTGCTTAATGTGGCTAGTTGACGGAAAGTTTTTCAAACTTCTAAAGTAAAAATAACTTAATTTTGAGTGTAGTCTGACTTAATATTTGCATATATTTATATTTTAATATAGTTAATCTTTTTTCATGAAGTATTTATTAAGATGGAAACTGACCTGTAAACATATTTTGATTTGTCAACAGCATTCTTTTCTCAACTACGATTAACACCTGGAATTTAAGATACTACAAGAATGAGGGCAGAATGATTCTGGGATTTCTAAGCTCATATAAGAAATGGGAACTAAATATTTTAGGTCCCTTTAGTTCATTCAAAATTACCAGGGGTTCTGAACTGCTTTGGTTGTTAAGTCCAGAATCAGATCTGATTATTTTAGTCAGGAGCAGATTTTTACTCTTGATTCTTTAGAGCTTCCACATTCAGGAATCTGAAACAGAGCACATAGTAGAATATTATTACTTATAACAAAAATTAATGTCATTGTGACTAATACTGCATTTGCTTTATGGTATGTATCAAGGGGTCTCAGTTACTTCATATTTCTAAAGCTTTCAAAAGCTAGAATTTACCAAGAACCCATCAAACACACCTAGATGTTTTTTTCCATTATAATCTGAAGATGAAAATTGCAGTTTTTCTTTACACCTAGAAAGTCATATTGGAAAATGACTTATAGAAATATATCATACATTTTTTAGTTTTGAAGAATAATTATGATTCTTCTTGATTAGTGACACTTTTAAATGTTTTGCATTTTTGAATGTATATATATGTTCCTACGTTAAAGATTTTTTAAACATCCTTACTCACAGAATAATCCATTTCTCTGTTTCTGTGGTATAGCTGTGGTTAGTTTACACAGAGAGGGATGTTTCTTTACTTATATAGGAAATTAAGTAAATTATTTCTGAGTAGTACATTTAGGATATGTATCTTGTTAGGATAATTTGTTACTGTGGGGGGAAAAAAAGCACCAGAAGTGACGTTTTCAGTTAGGAAAACATACTCTTTCACATAGTAGTCCCAAAGTAAGGAGTTTCTAGGACTGGTTAATAGTGACTCAAAAATCGTCAAGACTTGGGTTATTTCTGTCTTTTCTCTTCTCTGTCATCTTTAGTGCTCTGACTTGTGCTGTTGGCCTTCACTCACTGTAAAATGTCAAGATGGCCATCATCATTCCAGTTATCACTTGCAGAACCTCTGTGTGTCGCTTTTTACTAATTATAAAAGTTTGCCAGGAGCAGCCCCCAGCAGACTTACTCTGACTCATTGATGATGATTGTGTGCTCATTCCTAAACCATACCTGGCAAAGGAAATTAAAATGATTTGCTCAGACTAATAAAGATTCTGACTGTACTTTATATGTATTCTGCGATTGAGCAAATAAATAAATACACTATTGATAATGAGAGCCACGTTTTTCACTGTCAGGAGAAAGAAGTTACAATAAGAAAAAGGAGAATGCTAGAATGAACCCTGTGCTGCTGGTTAGGAACTGTAGTTAATAGTATGAATTCATGGTTTTAAATATTATAGATGAATTCATATAGGTATGTGTTTGTGTGTGTGTGAGGACATTCATGTATATTCTCGGCTTGATCCACTGAGAGGGCCTAGAAAAACAGTGATTTCTAGCAGTAATGAGCACAGTGGAGGCCCAGAGCTCAATTTCTTTTTTTAAAGATTTTTATTTATTTTATTTTTAGATAGGGAGGAAGGGAGGGAGAAAGAGAAGTAGAGAAACAAAAATGTATGGTTGCCTCTTGCACAGCCCCTGCTGGGGACCTGGCCTGCAACCCAAGCACGTGCCCTGACTGAGAATCAAACTGACAACTCTTTGGTTCGCAGGCCAGTGCTCAAACCACTGAGCCACACCAGTCAGGGCTTGATTTCTAAACAGGATTCTCAAGTAAAAGAAATTAAGGGTTTTTTTGAGAATTGGCTGATGTCAGGACTTCAGGGTATGCAAAGTACAGCATAAGCTGGAACATCTTGTAGTGCCAGAAAATAAGGCAATGTTAAAGAAGTAATGAGGGTATGTTGCAAAAATTAGAAGAGAACTTAAAAAACCTCCTAATGGCAAAATCTAGGACAACCTGAACAGTGAAATAATGATAATAATGGATTATTCTACCCATGGAATAAATGGAAAGTTCTTTTTTTAGAATTCTAATTACTAAATGTAGAAGCAATGTTATAAATAGAAAAGCACCATTTGGCAAAAATGACAGCAATAATTGTTGAAGACAAGAATCACTACTGAGGTTAAAACTAGTATAAGTATGATGAAAAACAATAATTGTAAATTTTGCAAATTACTCAAAGTTTATGTCCCACAAGACGCTTAATAGTTTGCAAAGGGAAAGTTGTAATATTATTGTGGAGGAACCAGGTGGACTTATCTCAATCAAATGTTCACAGTTAACATCGCTAGTAATCAGATATGTCAACCTCCTGTACCTCCTGATAAAATTCACCAAGAAGAGCACATTACTTCTGTTGTATTTCTAACCAAAAATACACAGGCCAGATTTTATCATGGGAAACATGAGACAAACGCAAGTTGAGGGACAATCAACAAAACTGGCCAGTCCTTTTCAAAAGTGTCAAGAATGTGAAAGACAAAGAAAAATGGAGAGACTGTCCCAGATTGTAGGAGACATGACATTAAATACAATGTAGGATTCTAAATTAGATCCTGGAGCAGAAATTTCATATTAGAGAAACAATTGACAAAATTTGAATAAGGCCTACAGATTAGTTAATAGTATTGTATCAATGTTAATTTTTTGATTTTGATAATTATGGATAATGATATTAACATTTTGACTAGCTGGATGATAGGTGTAGCGGTATTCGTTGTTCTATATTTATAACTTATATTTATATTTATAACTATATTTATATTTATAACTTATTTGTAAGCCTGAAGTTATTTTAAGGTGAAACATTAAAAAAAATTTTAAGATTTATACCTTGAGTCTGGAGAGAAGATTAACCTTTTCTCTAAGTAGCTGCTGGATATTGGAGAAAATCACTATTCTTTTCGCAAAGAATAAGAAGGAAATGAATGTTGGATAAGCAACCAAAAATGTAACTACAGTTAGACTAGTTCTATTCCTGTGAGTCAGAAAATAATAGCCTCTTTTTTTTTTTTTGCACAGATTTTGTTTTCTGTGAGCAATAGGGGTTTCAAAACCTTTTCAGCTTTTTAATACGCTTCAATTAATATTGATGATTTTACTTTATGTATATGTATATTAGACTTACCTGAATAGTTACAGAAAACTGTATAAATTCACCCTATAATAAAAATTATTCTAAAAATAAATATAATGAACTTCATTAGTTGCATAAGGAAAATACATTGTTTTCTTGGTTAATAAGTAAAATTTCTCTTTTAATATCTACTTGAAATCAAGAAGGAAATATCTTTGTTTCATTTAAAAGTAAATAGGATTTTCTTCCGTAATAAAAATATTTCACTTGAGTGGTTTGACATTAAAAATTATGAAATATACTTATTCTATCGTTTTCCTCTTCATTGTTATTTATACTCCATCTAGAGATGGTTTCTACTAGCATTGTTAATCAGAAGATGAGTACTATCAAAGACTTGGTATGGTGATTTAACATATACTAAACTAAATGGCTAATTACTCTTTGTTGGAGTTACTTTACAAGTCTCTCCTTTCAGGTATATAGGAATTCTTGTTTACTCTGACCTTTTTTTTTTTTTTCTTTTCTTTGCTTTGTAGTGTTCTGTTTTTTATTTAAGTATAGTTTGGTGTACCATTGGATATTGGTTATATTAGTTACAGTGATATATAGTGACTCGACATTTTTATACCTTACAGTGTGATCACCCCACTAATCTAGTAATCATCTGTCACCATGTAAATTTGTCACAATATTATTGACTATATTCCCCTTCCTCTTTTCACCCTTCTCCCCCACCCCCTTCTGGTAACCATCCCTTTGGTCTCTGTTTTCTCTGACCCTTTTTTAATTCCAAAAGTGTAATGTTTCAAAGTTGATTAATAGATAATGAGTTCTTTATATTGTGCCTTGGTTCAGTGTTGAAGGTAACGATCTTACAGATGCTGGATTAACAGCTATTGATGAGAATGGCATCTTTCAGAGTCAAAATGTTGGTCACTTTTAAGAAGCAGTATGACAAACACAGAAATTATGGTTTGCTATTTGATTATACATTTTTAAACTATGTCCACTAAGTTTTTGAAGGAATTTAGTTTTATTAAAATGGATCCTTCATATAGGCCTAGTAATTTTATTTTCTAAAATGTTACTTTAAATGACAGATTTTTATCTATAGAGTAGTATTTCTGTAAGCTATAATAAAAATCATTTCTCTGCAGATTGAATGATTAGACATAATTAGAAGCGATCTAGAGGTACTTATAACAAATGCATATTTTATAACTGAGACTTTTTATACAAAATGTATTTTTACACACCTCTAACCAAACAACCACTTGAAAAACCTTCTTAAATTTGTAAATGACTGTTAAGTATTTCCTAAAAATCATTTATAACATGTCTGAATTTTAAAAAATGGAAACACAGCTGATTATTCAGTAATTCGATAATACTTTACTTCACCATATAGCTTACAGAGTCACTTGATCTTCTTAGCAACCTTTTAATATATATTGCAATTAATCTGTACATATGTACCTCAGGTAGCTTGGGCAGCACAGATAACTAAATTCTCTGACTAATCAGAGAATTAAAGGGATACTTTATATGATAGTAAGTTAGGTCTTTGCATTGTGGGACCAGGAACTTGGGTTTTCCTCTATTATCATAATCCCCCTTTCCCAGATCTTTTATAATAGATAGTTGGGGGCAGTAACAGTCAGGATGTCTTATCTCCATATTGTTATAATAACTGTATTTGTAAGATATTACAGTCCTTAGGGATTCCCCCACCTGGAAGAAGCAGTTAGAAAACAAATTAATAACTATACTCCATTTGTTCACTACTGTATTGTTTCAGACCTGTGTTTTGATGATAGTTGTCTTTGCAAATGGCTAAAGCTTCTCTTTAACACAAATTCATTTATAAAGTTAAACGTGTAGAAATGTTGACTATTGAATATTTACTTGTTGACTACTCCCAAAATAGGGCCAGTGAAAGCCTAGTGCTGCTTATAAATTAAATACATGTTGTAGAAGTTCTGTAAAATTTTTATTATTAAATGAGACAGCTAAATTAACAAGTTTCAGCTATCTATTACTATCTATTTTCAATTTCAGGTGTCTCAATATGCTATTAGAACTATTTTCGTTATCTAACAGGAGGCTGCCACTTTTAGATATATTGGTTTTTTATTCAATATCAACTATTCAACCAATATTTGAGAAATATTCCTGTATATTGGGTATCTGACATTATAACTTTGTGCTGTTTTACTTTGAGATGTTTACTTATCTGCTTTGCTGCCAATAATATTACATTCTACATTTTAGTCATTTTGACACAATCATTTGGACATCTATTCTTTATGGCAGACTGGTTGGATGGCAGACTGGTTTGTCATTCTTATTTGGTATTTTAGACCCTTGAGGGGGCTGAGCGAAGATGTTTAAGCCACAGTATTATCCTTTATTTTCAGCTTTAAGACCACACAGACAATCCCAATTAAATTTCTAATGGGGTTTCTTAGAATTAAAATACATGCATACTTTATATAATATGATATTTTAAACTATAGTAATGGAAGGGTAAAATATTACAGAACCTTGGGAAGTAACTAGGTAATCTACTAGAAGAAAATTTTAGATGTCTTTGTTCTTTCCTAACTACAAAATCAAATGATAAACACCTTAAATAGGACATACTGTGTACCAGCACTGTTCTGCATGCTGTATATGCATTAGTACTTAGTCCTTTCAAATGCCTTATGTGGAAAATACTAATATATCCACATCTTTTGAGGTACAGAGGGTGTAGGTTACTTGCACCAGGTCACACAGCTGGTAAATGACAGAGCTAAGATTCAAACCTAGGCATCAGGATCTAGGGTTTGTGTACTTCTGCTCCACTGTAAGCCCAGGCTTAAAAATAATATCTGGGAGAAGTTTAAACAACACAGAAATAAATAAAATAGAAAGTATGAATCCCCCATGACACAAATAGAGATGAAATGAGTAGAGATACCTGTTAATTACATTAACAAATGTAGACAAATTTTTTTTATTTTGTTTTTTCAATAAGTGTCCATTTTTTTGGCAGTTTTGACAATGTTGAGTCAATGGTGGCATCACAATCCACTCCTTCATCTTGTTCCAGCATTGTATAATGAATGCCTGATACTTAGACATAACACTTCTGTTGTACAAAACAATACTGCAGAACAAATTCTAGTATAATTTAAACTCAGATTAAAAAGTTACTCAAACCTCACCTTTTAAGTAGTTTGTTTTGGTACAGCAAATTCATGATATATGTAAATGGTGAGACCATCCATTGGAGTTTTTATTATAGAATTATCCTGTTAGACTACTTTTTCTTAAAAACTTTTCTTGACTTTTAGAGATGCACAAAGACTTGAAGAATTCTTCACCAAAAATCAACAGCTGAGAGAGCAACAGAAAGTTCTTCACGAAACCATTAAAGTTTTAGAAGATCGGTGAGTCTGGTTCTTCGATCCTCTTGAGTGAAAATTGATTATTTCCTCTATATAGAAAGTACATTGGTTTTAATGTATAACCAGTTCTGGGACTGATAGAGATCTTTTTTCCCTATTTTATGTCAACTTTGGGTGAATACTTTGTGAAATTAAGGATATACTCTTGTATGCTCCCCCCCGCCCACTAATTACAGCAGTCACATCAGTTTACCCTTTAAATGGTGTTTATTTGTTGATTTCGTGTTTGATGTGGAATGAGCTTCATAGTAGCAATGTACTAATTCAAAAATATTTGATGGTTTAATTCCATTTTTGCTTCTGAGTAGCTACTGGGAACTACTTCTCAATTGTATTCCTTTTTTTAAAATTTTGACCTAAGGACATGCATATTGACTTTTTTAGAAACAGTGGGAGGGAGAGAAAGGGAAAGAAACATCAATCAGTTGCCTCTCATATGCCCCCTAATGGGAGACTGAACCCGCTATATAGGCATGTAATCTAACCTGGAATCGAACCCACAGCCTTTCAGTTTATGGGATGACACTCCAACCAAGTGAGCCACACTGGCCAGTGTGTTCTATTCCTGTTTTCTTATTCCTACCATTCTCTTTTCTCTCCTGCATAGTCTTCGTTTCCAGACAGTGTAGGGACTCTTCTTTCTGATACTATATTCCCAAGATAATGCCTATTACTTACTTCTCCTCCACATACAAACTTCTTTCTTTTCCATTCCTATGAGTTTAACACCCTACATTAGAAGAGACTTCAGGATTTTCCTGCATTCCTTTGTCAAGGTCTGTCCTGAAAGTATCCAGCCCAGCCATGTACTATGACAAATACAGTTATTCATTAAAGAAGATACAAGATAAAAGAAACATTGTACATAGGACAGTGATGCCTCAGTCCCCTTCAAAGTAGGCACCTTGGAACCTCACACAGTTCTCCCAGTTGCCATCAGCTGCCCTGTGATATTTTCCTGAATCTCATCGATGGTCTGAAATCTCTTCCCTTTCAAAGATGATTTTAGTTTTGGGAAAAGCCAAAAGTCACAGGGCACCAAATCTGGGCTGTAGGGGGACTGAGTCACTTGGATGATTTGATGTTTTGCCAAAAAATTCTGCACAAGGAATGATGCATGAGCAGGCACGTTGTTGTGATGAAGCTGTCAATCACCAAGGTGCCCATAGTTACAGCCTTCTGAATCATTTGAATAGTCTCAATAGAGGAATGTTCAAGTTTAATGCAAAATTTCATGCAGATTCGTTGCTGTACTTGCTCTGTCATTTTGAATGTGACAGCCACACAGTATACTTGCTCACTCAACAGTGTCTGCCTCCCCCGCTGAGTGTCATTGCATGTGCATTCCAGTCCACTTTCCTTGGCTGCCAGGTTACATTGGTGTTGCACAAACCATTATCGTTATATTAACAATGGTTGGACTTTTTTGTGTTATTTAGGACCTTGAACTACCTATAATAAACAATGTTTCTTTATAGTTACTATTTTTGTTTATGTGACAGACGGTCTGGTGGTTTGAATTTGCTGCTATGCGTTCAGTGGTGGAATAATCTAATATTCTGCACATATGCAAATTGAAGTTGAGTACTCTCCTTCTATAACTACTATTTCAGTGGATGTACATTTAATGAAATAGGCAGCCTATAGCAGAATAAAGCTCCATGTGTTTTAACATCATTGATGTGAACTTGAATTTCAACTTCACATTGTATCTTTAATTACTATTACTTAGTCAATAACAGTAACTAGTAAAGTCTTTAGTATGTTCTAAGTGCTGCTCTAGGGATTAGGGATAATACTATGCCTAGTATATCATGAAACTGATGCTTAATTTTCAGAGGTTGGGAGTGAGTCATACAAATAAGATTTCAGATTTTAAATGCTATGAAAAAATATATAATTGAATGATGAAATTGAGTACCACAGACATTGGGAAATGAATGGATGCTGATGGATACCAGGAATGTCCTTTCTGTGGAGGTGCTATTTGAACTGAGACCAGAATTATATAAGAAAGAGCCAGTCATTTGAAGAACTGGAGTTTAAAAAGAGAACAGACAAATACGAAAGCCTGAGGTGCAAGTAAGTTTTGAAATCTTTGAAAACTAGAAAGTCCACTGTGGCTCTAACTTAATGCATAAGATTAATGATAGGAGATAAAATTGGAAAGGTAAGAAATAAGTAGGTTATTTGAGGACATAGGCAAAAAACTTGGATTTTAATTGTAATGAGAAGCCATTGGAAAATTTAAGAAGGGAGAATGCCAATAGGATGTGAGTGTGTACCAGTAGCATCTACTATATCCAAAAGGAGAAGTCAAGTAGATAGTTGTACATATGAGTATGAACTAACTGGAGAGATTAGAGCCTAGTGAAGCAAATTGGGAAGTCATCATCCACATATAAATAGTACTTAAAACCTCAGGACTGGCTCCTTAAGGACCTTTCTTTTTTTTATGGTTTCTTGTTGTTGCTTGTATTCCTCTTCTTCCCCCCGCCCTTTCTCAAATATATTTTCCTTCCCCCCACTCCAAAGGACATTTTAAAGAGTGTAAGTACAGAATAGAAGAGGTCTGATGGGTGTATGCGTGGGCATACTAATTAAGGTCTAATGAAGAATAAGGACCCAGTCAGCAAAAAAGATTAAGAGAAATTAACAGAGTAGGAGAAAAACCAGGAGCATTTGACATACTAATAATACCTCCTTCACATGGGCTATTTTGAAGATTAAATGAGATAATGCAAGTAAAAGTAGGTAATAGGAGTTTTGAAAGACTTCTAATAGCCCTCTTACATAGTGAATATGATTCCAGGCTTTAGCACTGTAGTCTGCTATATACCACAGCCAGATCCAGTCTCTCTCCAGCAAAGATACCAGGATGCTAGAAGGCCATCTATCCTTCTCAACCCTCCGCCTCAATCCATGATCTGAAAGGAAGTCATCAGTTACTCCTCTGTTAGTGTGGTGAGGCATTTCCTTCTATTTCCTCTGTATATGTAGTAGAGGATTTGGGAAGAAGGGCGGAAAGCATACCTTAGCCTTTAACTATGCAGTAATTGAAGCACTTCCTTCTCTTATTTCACCATATTTTTTCTGTCATCTCTACCACTTCACCCTTTCCACAAGCAATGAGGTTCTTTCTTTGCCATCAAAATAGTAGTAATAGCAAGAGATTAGGAATTCTTTCTGTTCAGTGATTGCTACATAAAGAAGAAATTAAGTTTGACTTTAACTAAATATGTTATTTCGAATTCTCTGAGAAGCAAACATGCAAAAGATCTTGGGGGAAACAACTGTAGAGTAAATGAGGAGAGAGCTGGAAGAGCTATAAGATCTCCTTTGAAGAACTGAGGGAATAAGGAAGGTCTTAGTAATACTGAATTGCAATTTTAAGAAAGCTTTAGCAAGGCAATTGGGGAGTCCTGGAACTGTAGTATACCTGCTCTACTCATTCATTGGCTGGCACCTGACTGGAATGTCTGGTGTGCTCACCTGTATGAACAGGTGAAGGATTTCAGAGCACAGAAGCTGGAGCCAGTGATTTTACTTCCCCTAGGAGGAGATGCATTTTTGTGGCTGCCACCTGCAAGGAGTGATTGTATTTATTTCTAGCATGCGCTTCCAGTTTATTTAATATTTTTAGTATTTCTCCCAGAAAACTTTCTATTTAGTTTGTCATTGACAAGTTTAGGGCCCAAAGTTAATACACTGAAGAAAAAAATCACAAGATAAACTTTTCATTATGTTTTGTTCAAATTGGCTTAATAAGAATCAACTCTCTATTTCATTCCCAAGATACAGTTTTCTTCATCTTAGCCCTTGAAGACATTCCATTGTAGTGTCTTCTGATTATTTCTCCACTTTATGATTTCCAGTTTGGGCTTCCAGTTCTGTTGTTTTTTGTGTTTTCTGTTTCCCTTCTTAAATGATTTTTTTTCTTTTCCAGACCCATTCTGAGAAAAAAATGTCAGTGGATGAATGCCCCCTCCCTTCCCATTGAAGTATTTTCTAAATTACTCTCTTTTATTCAGTCGATATACTTAATTGTGAAACTTATCTTTTTGTGGCGTTTCTGGATTGGTAAACTTGTGGGGATGTTGGGGGAATGATGTGCCTGGGGAAGGGATAAAAATATATCCTTCAATTTCTTAAAATGAGATTCTTTTCTATTTTTGATCTGTGGTCACAAATTGTGTGTGGATATCATGCTTCTCTGTTGTTTCTTATCCTAAATATTCTCTTGCCTTCCATTCTCTTCACCTTTAGGTCCTTAGAATTCATTATGTGCTATTAATTTGGTGGTGGGGGCAAGGAGTATAACTCATTTCTTTATACATAGGTTTTTCTCCCCTTCAAAAACAAATCTGAAATTTCCTTTTGGGTGTACTTGAAGATTTATCTCTCATTTTATGAGGCCTCATAATTAAACCAGGAATGATCTAGAGCCAACCCTTTTTTTTTTTTTTTTTTTGTGGAGGAACTTGTATGTATTGAGAGCTTACTTTGGACCCAGGCATCCAGCACTTAATCTTCGCATTAATACTCTTTAAGATAGGTGATTAAGTCCATTTTACATGTGAGGAACCTGAGCTGGGATAAAGAAATGCCAAGGATCGTACAGTTAGTATATAATTAGGTAAAATTTGACCCTTGAAGCCCCACAGTTTCTACTGTTTCATGATGTCTTGTTGGCATCAAAGTATGTGTGACCAAGACACACATACTTTGAACAGTCTTCACCATTGCTTATTATCTAGTCAGTTTTCTAGGAAGTTTTTTTGTTATTTAATTGCTACTAACTGAATACTACCTTTAAATGTCTATGTAAGTAATATTTGGTAAAATTCTGTCTTATATAAAATTTCATTTTAGTTTTATGTCATATGTAAGAATGGTGTCTAGAACAAGCTTTATAAATCTATAAAAATTAATGTTTTGCTGAGACCTAAAAAAACACATTTTGTTAAAATTTCTAAATAGTAATTCTAAAACTTGCCATCTACCTTTCATAAGATGAAGTGGTTCTTATGCTGATGTTGTAAAAACATTGTGAGATGTTCAGATGAAAGAAATTACCCAATAAAGGTAAATTAGATAATAAAAAGTTAGAATTTTATGTAGCTCATTTATGTTTTACTACTATTATGACATTTACAAACTTTCCTTTAAGGAACCAAAGAATTTCACTAAATCTAAGAAACAACCACAGTGCTGGATAAGCAGATAGCATGCATTTAAAAAAAAAAAGAAAAGAAAGAAATCTAAACAAAGCAGTTAAACCATAGTTGTCCAGCAGACTTTAATATCTTTAAAAGCATTTTTGGCAGTCATTAGAAACTCATCTTATATTTCAACTGTCTTTAAAAGGGAAAATCGGTACTCATAATCAGAGGATTTTTGTTTCTGCAACTATTTTCAAATACTGGACCAAATTTCTCCTTTGTCTTTGCTAACTTTCTTACTTAGAGAATTGAATTTAAACATATTCTTCAGGAGAACTCTGACTTCCTAGACTAGGCTAAGTTCTGCTCTGTGCTTTAATACTTCATAGTACCCTGTATTCTGTCACAATATGAATCATACTTTGTTGTAATTACTTTTTTATTGTCTTTCTCTAGCAGACTGTTGTAAACTCTTTAAAGGAGGTGACGTTGTTAGCCACTCTTGTATTTATAGCACCTAGAGTACTCATTGTAGATATTCAGTGAAACCCTTTTGAATGAAAATAAATTTGAGGAAACCTTTTTGGGGTATACCAAGTAACTGTGCATACTTGTTAATCTGGTGAGTTTTAATTGCAAAGTGAACGCTATTATTTCTTCATGTCTATGAACAAACTGGGGTAAAACTCAGAACACATGTTGCTGTCTGCTCTTACAAGTGCCCTTTTCCTCTTTTCCTGTTTATTTCAGTTTTCTGTGAAATTGAGGCTTGCTTTTCTTTCTCTGACAGCTGCAGTGAAAGATAGGAAAGAGGAAAACAATGGACCCTACTGGTGGAAATAGGAGCGTATTTTCTCAAAACTGTTTAAATTTAAACTAGAATCAGTGAGCATTTAGGAATTGACTCACAGATATTATCAAGAGGCAGTTGATTGAAGAAATCTGGATGTAATATACAAGCTGTGCCAGTCACATTTTTAAACTTGGAAAATAGGGGTCTCGGATTGTTTTCCATTATATTTTACAACATTTTAATATATCAGATATGACTTCTTAGAAACAATAAGGTGTTTAGTTTTTTAATGACAAATAAACTGACTAATAGAATGATATTTAAATAATTCATTAAAGTTGTTTAATGTCCATTTTCTTGGATCATGAAACTAGAAACCAAACTCAAGAAAAAAATTCAAATAAATGGAGGCAAAATACCATGTCATTAAATAATGAATGGGTTATCAACGAGATCAAGGAGGAAATCAAAAAGTACCTGGAAACAAATGAAAATGAACACACAACAACCCAAAACGTGTGGGACACAATGAAGGCAGTACTGAGAGGGAGGTTCAATGCATTACAGGCCTATCTCAAGAAGCAAGAAAAGTTGTAAATAAGCACTCTGACCCTACACCTAAAAGAGCTAGAAAAACAACAACAAACAGAGCCAAGAGTTAGTAGAAGGAAGGGAATAATCAAGATCACAGTGGAAATAAATGACATAGAGACTAAAAAAACAATTCAAAAGATCAGTCAAACCAGGTGCTGGTGCTTTGAAAAGATAACAAAATTGATGAACCTTTAACCAGACTCATCAAGAAAAAAACAAAGGAGGACCCAAATAAATAAAATCAGAAATAAAAATGGAGAGGTAACAACTAATATCACAGACATACAAAGGCTTGTAAGAAAATACTATGAATAATTATATGTCAAGAAATTGAACAACATGGGTGAAATGGATACATTTCTAAAAACATGCATTCTTCCCAAACTGAAGAAGGAAGAATCAGAAAACCTGAATGGACTGATAACAGCTAATGAAATTGAAGCACTAATCAACAAACTCCCAGGAAGCAAGTCCTGGACAGGATGACTTCACAGGTGAATTTACCAATCACTCAAAGAACTACCACCTGTCCTCAAACTATTCCAAAACTTTCAAGAGAAGACAAGACTTCCAACCTCTTTTTGTGAGGCCAGTATTATCCTAATTCCAACACCAGATAAAGACACAACAAGGAGCCCTGACCAGCATTGCTGGGTTGATTGATCATCCTGCAAAGGAAAAGGTCACTGGTTAGATTCCTGGTCAGGCTACTTGTTCAGGTTATGGGCCCACTCCCCAGTAGGGGCACATGCAGGAGGCAACCAGTCAATGTTTCTCTCACACATTGATGTTTCTCTCCATTTCTCCTTCCCTTCCCCTCTCTAAAAATAAATAAAATCCACCCCCCCCCTCAAAAAAAGATACAACAAGGAAAGAAAATGATAGGTCAATATCCCTAATGAACATAGATGCTAAAAATCCTCAACAAAATGTTCTCAAACTTCCCTGGCTGGTGTGGTTCAATGGATTGAGCACCAGACTGTGAAGCAAAGGGTTGCTGGTTCAATTCCCAGTCAAGGCACATGCCTGGGTTGCAGGCCAGGTCCCCAGTAGGGGGGCACAGGAGACACAAGCACACATTGATGTTTCTGTCCCTCTTTCTCCTTCCCCCCTCTCTAAAAAAAAATAAAAAATATTTTTTTTAATGTTCGCAAACTGGATCCAGCAATACGTTAAAAAGATCATACACCATGATCAAGTGGGATTTATCCCAGAAAAGTAAGGCTGGTACAATATCCATAAATCAATAAATGTAATACATCACAAACAAAATAAAAGGCAGATATCATATGATCATATCAAGAGATGCAGAAAAGGCACTTGATAAAATTCAGCGTCCATTTATTATGAAAACATTTAGCAAGTAGGAATACACGGAGCATACCTCGACATAATAAAGGCCATAAATGAAAAACCTACAGCCAACATCGTACTCAATGGGCAAAAACTAAAAGCATTTCCCCTAAGATGAGGAACAAGACAGGGATATCCACTTTTACACCTCTTATTTGACATAACACTGGAAGTTCTAGCCACAGCAATCAAAGAGGAAATAAAAGGCATCCAGATTGGAAAGGAGGAAGTAAAACTGTCATTATTCACAGAAAACATATTATACATAGAATACCCTATAGAGTCCACCAAAAAACCATAAGACCTAATAAATGAATTTAGCAAAATAGCAGGGTAAAATATAATTCTCAGAAATTGATGATATCTTTATATACCAATAATAAACTACCAGAGACGCTAACAAAGCAATCCCATTTACTACTGTAACAACAACAAAAAATAGTAAGATACCTAGGAATAAATTCAGCTAAGGAGGTAAAAGACCTATAACGTGAAAAACTATAGGACACTGAAGAAATTGAGGAAGATACAAATAAGTGGAAACATATACAGTTTTCATGGATTGGAAGAATTAACATTATTAAAATGTCCATAGTGCTCTGGCCTGTGTGGCTTGGTTGGAGCATCATCTCAAAAACCAAAAGGTCCCAGGTTCAATTCCTGATCAGGGCACATGCCTAAGTTGTGGATTTGGTCCCTGGTCAGGGTGCATACGAGAAGCAACCAATCAGTGTTTCCCTCTCACATTGATGTTTCTCTCTCTCCCTCCCTCCCTCCATTTCTCTCTCTCTGAAATCAATAAGCATGTCCTGTGGTGAGTATTCAAAAACAAAAACAAGAACAAAAAAATCCCCTTTAGTTCCTCGATCTTTAGTATTACTTCAGCTAAAAAAGTTGTTGAGCTCTTGTGTTATAATCTATGCTAATAAGCAAAGCACATGAAAGCTTTTTCAACATATAATTCTGCCCCTTAGTACTTACTGGGGTTCATATTTTGGCTATAATAAAATGAAACAAGGTTATTTTCTTCAATAAATAAGTTCCCTTGAGTAGAGTTTAAAGTTGGCAAATTTTTGCAGAATTTCACTGAGAATTAGTCTGTAGAAAGTGATGTCATAGCATGATTTCAGCCTATTTGAGAATTTGTTAAAGATATGACTATATCATTAAACTAGTTAATTTTCTGTGTACTTGCCAAGTCAATTCTTTAGATCTTCATAAAGTATAAAAATCTTGGGGTTCAAATATAAATATCTTTTAATAGTTGAAAATATTTTGATGTTTTCTTTAAATTTTAGCTTTATTGAGGTATAATTGTAAAAGCAAAATAAAGTATACATCTTGGTGATTTGATAAATAGATACATCGTGAGAGACTTTCCACCCTCTGGGGTTAACACATCCATCACCTCACTTATTGTTTTATGAGAACATTTAAGTTATATTCTCAAAATATTTTTTTTGTTTCCTAGATTAAGAGCAGGATTATGTGATCGCTGTGCAGTAACCGAAGAACATATGCGGAAAAAACAGCAAGAATTTGAAAATATCCGGCAGCAGAATCTTAAACTTATCACAGAACTTAGTAAGTTTCCTTTCTTCATTTATTAAATATTTAAAGCATAATATACCATATTAAAACCTATTAGTAAATTGGTTGCAGCCAAATGGATTGTTTATGTATATTTTTCTTGTTTAGGCAAAAGTCTAAATGTCCTTTTTCCCTTTGTGTAGATTTAATCTCATGATTATTTTAGTAAGAAATATTTAACAGATGGTTATGTCCATACTGTCCACATTGACCCTAAAGTCTCACCAGCTTTAAGACAAGAAACAAATCTCCTACAGATATATCTATATTTGCTTCTTTGGTCCTATCTTTATTTTATGTAATTTGACTATTAAGTTAAATATAAAGCAAACAATTTAGTGTTTTACAGAAGTGTATACTTTTTTTTTGGTTTTTATGATGTAGTATTACACGTATACCATTTTCAGTCAGGTTCCTTATCCACATAATACAGAGTTTTCTCTTATTCTTAGCTTTTTTTCATATAATCTTTTTCTCTTCTGCTACCTCTCTTAATTTTCTCTTTTACCTGTTTATATACTCTCTTAGTCACCCTTACCTGGATTCCCTATAAGTAACTGACAGTCCACTTGTCCAAAATCTAATTAATCTTTTTTTCCAACCTATCAAGTCAGTGTCAATCCTATACAGTCAATCTTCTGACTGTATTTTTTACTATTGTGTTGCTGTCCTCTGGTTATTCAAGCAAGAATATATGAATACATGCTTATTATTTTAAAAAGATAAAAAGAACATGATAGTTACTGCTAACAGTCTGTTAAGTATCTTTCCAGGTTGATGTTTACCTGTCTTTCTCCCTGTCTCTGTTCTTTGTCTTTGTCTCTTCTCTTTTAAATTCTAATGAGATCATATCATACTTTTTGTTCTGACATGTTATTTTATACTGTGTCTTACAGTGTTTACATGATAATTAGGTCTATAGATTCTATTGTGTGTATGTGTGAATACATGCATATGTTTATTTAGGAATATAAGAATAGTACTAATGAATAGAAATTAACATTTATTACATATCAATAAACATAGGTGAGATCCATCATTATGTTATCATTGATACTGGAGAAAATCTCCAGTAATGTCTATGTATCTAATAGTCAAATTTCTAGTAACTTTAGCTATCTGAAAATAACCAAAAATTCCAAGTTAGCAAAAAACCTAGCTTTAAGAAATAGGACAGTGTTCTTTTTCCTTTCTGCATTGTATTCCATACTATAGATGTCATTTATTTAGCCAATCTCATATTGATGGACAGCTCAGTTATTTTGTTTGAGTGTGTGAAATGGTCCATTTCCCTCCATCTTCTTCAGCTTTGGACAAATGTAGTAATTGATAGTATCCAATCTAGTGTGTAAAGAATGATGCCTTTTTAAAATTAGCATCCTCCTTATTACTGTACAGATCAAGTATCTTTTCACATGATTTTCAGTTTGCATTTCCTCTTGGGTAGATGGCTTGAATACCCTTTATCTAATTTTCAAATAGATAAAATACTTCATGAGTTTATGTTGAAAATTGAAGACTATAGGTCTATAACTAACCTTTTCTCTAATGACATCTATATCTCCTTTCTTCTGCACTGAGAATCCTGGTTCTCAAGAACACAGAAATAATAGAATTAAAATACCTCCTAACTACTCATTTTTTAATCTCATATTACTAGCCAGTAGTCTCAGAATAACACCACCAATAGTACCACCAATATGATTACTAAAAAGTTTAAGAAACCTAATTTTACATTAAAATGAGCAACAGAAAAATCAATGAAGTCAATTTCCAAAGTTGTTATAAGAATTAAAATACTAAGTGCTTGATATTTATGAGTTTTTGGTGCTTCTATTTTATTGCTGCTTTTTTCTTCCTATCCTTTGTTTTCTTGTTATTACTCTTCCTAGTTACAGAATTTTTAAGAAGATTTTATTTATTTAATTTTTTAAGAGAAGGGAAGGGAGGGAGAAAGAGGGAAAGAAACATTGATGTGTGAGAGAAACATGGATTGGTTGCCTCTCACATGCCCCCAGCTGGGACCTGGCTCACAACCCAGCCATGTGCCCTGACTGGGAATCTAACTGGCAACCTTTTGGTTTGCAGGACAGTGCCCAATCCACTCAGCCATTTTAGTCAGGGCCCAGTTATTGAATTTTGAGGATATTTATTTTTCTTCTTATTTTATTTTAATTTGATTCTTTTGTTTGTTTGTTTGTACCATCATTTTATTGAAAGAAAACATCTGTGTTGTGCCTCTTGCTTTTGGACACACTCTGAGTATCACAGCTTTAATTGGATTTTTTCCTTTTTTTTTTTTAACTCCAATTTCAGTTCTTTTTGATCATCCTTGACATTTTACCATGCATTCCTAAAAGTGTAAAGTTGATATCTTAACCCTGTTCTGGATCACTTTAGTTCTGATGTGCTGGTGACCCCCTTTCTGCCTTTTCAGTATTGTAATTGACTTCCCTTTAGAGTGGTTTTGTCATTTCACTGGATTTGGACAGGGAGAGTCAAGTAAACCATCTTAATCTTTGACTTTTTTTACCCTTCAAAGGTTGAATTGTCAAATAACTACTGATTCTGTCTCTGTAACAGCTCTTTTGCCTTTTCTCACTCTATTTCTTCACCTTGCACTTTAGTCCTGATACTCATTTTTTTTTTAATAGTAGCCTGCCTAATTTGTCAATGCTTTTTTCTCACTTTGGTATTTATACCTACTAACAAATCTTCCTATCGTTCATCTGTGAAAAATAATTGATAATTTTTAAAGATAAATTTCATGCTTCTTAGCCTGCTTTTGAAGGCTTTCTACCATTTATTATACCCAGTCTTTCTTTTTCTCTTTTTTAATCTTCACCCAAGGGTATGTTTATTAATTTTAGAGTGAGAGGAAGGGAGACAGAGAGGGAGAGAGAAATATAGATGTGAGACAGAATCACCCATCAGTTGCCTCCCACATGTGCCCCGACCTGGGACCGAACCCACAACGTAGGTATGTGCCCTGACTGGGAATGGAACCTGTGGCCCTTTGGTGTACAGGACCATGCTCCAACAGCTAGGCCTACCCAGTCAGTCTTTCTAATTTTATTCCATTAATTCTCTGCATTGAGTAGTCACCTATCCAATTCATTTGTCTTCTCTGTGATTAATTCTTTTCTGATCTGCCCAAGGGCCCAGAGAAATCTTTTTTCCCTTGAAATTTTCTTTAGTACTTTATCTGTACCTCTCTGTACTTTGTCACTTTCAACTGTATAAAACATATTTATATAATAGGTTGTCTCTCATTAGACAACACTTTCCTTTAGGTCATTTTCCAAATCTGAACATTTTTTAGGTCCTCCACAGGAAGTAGTCTAGCAAACTCATAAATTGTTAATAATCAAGAAAAATTTGTTTACTCAACGTAAGAGAATATGTTTAGATTTCTAAAGCACCAGATGTAATTAACAAATTTTTAGAATATTATTAACTGTCTTTGGTAGAAGTTCATTGTATTTACTGCGACTTGATCTCTTGTATATATTCCTCCCAGTAAAACACATGCTTAACCATTGACATCATACTAAGGATTGATAAGAATTTTGTACTGGCCACAGTGGAAATTATAGCCCAAGATTGAGTTTCTGCTTTATATATTAAATAAAGATGGGCCAGAAATTTAGTCGAGGTAGATTCAAACAGATACTACTTCAGTGGATGTGTTTAGATTATTGATGCCATAATTATTCATGAAACATAAAGTATGACTAAAGAAGAAAATATGACTTAAGTGTGTTTATGTTATAAAAATTATACTGATACTCAGTGTTATATTACTTTTATGATTAGGTTCATTTCAAGATAAATGACTCTCACTAAATGGTATTTGAAATTAGTAGGGCTGAGTAACCAGGTGGAATGCTTTCTTGTCCTCACTATAAATAATTAGACTCTCCTCCCCAGTACGTGAAGTACTCTTTTTTTCTTTTTTTCCCCACAAGCATTACATAAAATTGTCAGTCAATCATTTACATGGAACTGGCACAATATAAGATATAACCACTACCTAGTAACAGATTAGTTTGCATGGTAACATTAACCCTGACTAACATTTTGACTTAGAACTAGAAATCATAATTTCTCCATAATTGTTGAAATTATTGAAAAAGCCTGACATACATGTTAATATTGAGTAATAGCGTTTGTCTTCTTTTTCACATTATATTTAAGTGAATGAAAAGAACACTCTACAGGAAGAAAATAAAAAGCTTTCTGAACAGTTGCAGCAGAAAATTGAGTAAGTAATTTTTCTAAATTGCAGTAGAAAATTGAATACATTTGGCCAATTTTTCTTTCTTCATTTTACTTAGCTTTACAAACTGTAAAGATATATTGAGTTGCAGATTTCATTTTAAAAAATTATAAAATGTTCTGCAATAAAAAAAGAAAATCACTATATTTTTCATGTTTTGGGAGTACGTATGAAAAATGTGTATGTGTATCTTAGATTGCTGTGCAAATATATAGAAAAAATATCTGAATATGTTAATTTAAAGCATTTTCATTTTAATAATTATTATAAATAGTACATTATTAGAATACTTATATTTAAAATAAATGCTTGAGTTTTGTTATATTTCTTCCAGCCCTGTCCCAGAAGCTTCATAAAAGCAAACTGAATAAGTATTTCCTCTTACACACTTGGCAGGACACACTTTTAAAGAATAAAAATAACTTTTATCCTGTTTACCAGTTACTCTTCTTTGTGTTTTATGTTCATTATTTCTGTTGTTCACTATGATTCTTCAAGGTAGTTTTATGATCTTTGCTTTATGGATGAGGAAACCAAAGCTCATAAAAGTAAAATAACTAGCCTTGGTCTCACCGCTAGTAGGTTATAACACCGCCACTCAAACCTATATCTTCTGACTTCACGGCCTCTGTTCTTTTCATTATGCAACAGTGCCTCAAAAAAATACCATATTTTGCCATGTATAATGTGCCCCCATGTAAAACATGCACCCATGTTTTTAGCCCAAACTTTCAGGAAAAATATCTTTCATTTTACTTTTTTAATTCAGTATTTTATTTATATTTACAAACAAGACCGATTATCATGTTCTGGGGAATTATTTTGCATACAGATATTGTTATTGCTTTCTGGAGTTACACTTCTAATGCATAAGCATAAATAAAATAACTTAAAACATTTATATAGATATGGAATTAGCACTACACGTGCATAATTCACATCCTTATTTTTCTGTCAGAAATTTGGGCAAAAAAGTATGCATTGTGTACAGCAAAATATGGTTATCTATTTGGGGGGGTAAGGTGTGACAGATACAGAGCAGAGATATGGCTACCTCTTATTTTCCATTTCCATAAAGCTTATATAATACTTTTTGAAGAATTAGGATTTAGGATAGTCTTAATGGTTTTATAGGACTCTTGAAGATTTTATTACATTTGAGTAGACATTTATAACAATTTTGGTACAAAGTATGCAGAGGTAACATCTTTTTTTTTGTCTCAGAAGAGTATTGTCTTATGTATAAACATATCTCACACATAAGATGAAATTAACATCCCTATCAGTGTACCTTTATGTAATGGATGTCCAATAGGATTTCAATATTCCTCCCATGTGATCAGTCCACTGTATATTGGTAGCCAAAGAGAATTTTGAGGAGGGATAATAGACAGATGAGGAAAGAAGGGTAGGGATCAGAGTGAGGTTATCAAATGTGTACATGAAAATGTCAACACTTACTAATTTTCCTCAAGTTGTATATTGAAGTGAGGCTAGAACATGGATTCACAATTGTTTATATATGATTCCAAAACCCAGAAAGATTTTTTGTTTTGAAATGTCATTCACAACCAAACCTTACCTTAACTGACAGGAAGTTATTTATAGTTCTTAGTTTATCATACCGCTTCATGTGAGTATTTGATGCTTTGCTGTGAAAATATCAATGCACTTGACTACAGGATGATACCTCAGGCTCCACTGGAGGTGCTACATAATAATCTGTTTATGCTCTGTATTACCCTTCTTGTAAAAAAAAAATCTGGACTCTGAATCACATCTGCTTCCAAAGGTTACAGGTAGGTAGATGTTGACCTGTATTTATGTTTTATGAAAAGTTATTTAGCACAACTAGCTTAAGGTATTTTGAACACATCAACCTCAGTATTGATGAATACTGAAGATAAATAAGATAATATTTACATATTATATAGCGGTTAATACAGAATTACCTCAACAACCAAGGTATATAAGGTGTATTGAAATAAAATAATGTCATTTTCTTAGTAAAAATATTGACTATGATTAGTTTAAAATTAGGTTACTTTTAGTGTTCTTAAATTTTCCTGTTGAGGCTCACTGATATTTTAGAAAAAAATGTAAAATCTGAAGTTAATTTAAATTACAGTCAAGATTAATAATGTAGATGAGCTCAGGGCAAGTACGTTTATTTAGGATATGCCTTAGTCAGAATAGTGTAGGAGTTACATAATTATTGTGTTGTTCAATTCTCTTCTGAAATTTAAGATAGTTCTTATTCTCATAAGGCAGCTTCTTTGTAGCTTGCTCTCCTTCAGCAAATTTTCTTTTCCTGGCAGTGTAGAAAAAAATAGCAAGTATTATCTCATAACAGCACCTGGTTTCCTCTGACTCCCTAATTGTAACATTATGCTATTAGTGCCTGAAATTCCCCTGAATCTTAGAAAAAATTTTGACCTATATTTCTGCTTGTAAAATGCAATAATTCTAACTCACATAAGCTGGTTTTGATGTTACAGATACCTTATATGATAGGACAGTTATTTAGTGACATTATAGTGGCAAACTGTTCAGTAACAATTTCTCATTATAAAATTTAAATATATATTTAAATATAAAGTTTATATATATAAAGTCATATATAAAATTTATATATATATGAAGTTATTTAATTATCTGCTTTCTATGACTGGTAGAGCTCATATATACATATATAGTTTATATATATAAACTGTATGTGTATATAAGCTTATAATATAAACTTTATATATAACTTTATATATATCTTTCTATATATCAACCCTACCAGTCACAGAAAGCAGATAATTAAATAACGTAGGTATTGGGGTCATGATTCTTTTTGTTTTGGGAAATGAATGTGCTAGTTCTGTGAAAATCAAAGGAGTCTACACTTAAGTCTATACACTTAAAGACTGTAGGATTCATTTCATTCCCTGCTCTCCTCTAAGGGGACAGTTAAAAATAAAGTCAGTTTCATTTTGTTTTTAAGATGAACTACACTGCTGTCTTCTGAATTGAATTCCTTGTATGACTTCTTTAACAAATAGCATTGTTTGAACACCTCTAGTACAAGTTCACTGTCTCCCAAGCCTACTTACTTTTAGTGAGATGAAAATATTATAAAGCTCTTTCTACGTTTCTGTAGAAATTACTGTACTTACAAGTTATATTTGTCAATTTTGATTGTGCATTCTTGGGCCTTTTCTACTTGGCGGTCCTTTGTATATATGAAGATAGTCATCACGACCCTCCTGAGTCTTGTCTTAGAGTAAATGCCCTCTGTTCATGAACTGTTCCTCGTATGGTCTTACTTGAAGACCTCTTCAAAATACCGTTTCTCTTTAATGTTTTAGATTTGTCAATATGTTAATTAAGAACTGAATATTTTATGTATAGTCTCACCAACAGAGTAATACACACATTTTTCTGTATCCTTTTTACTTATATTAATATGGTCAAAACATATATAGTACATGTGATTCCTTATGGGTTTACTGCTCCCTATCCTCTACTCGTAGACTTGTTTTAGCTCTAAATTTTGGAATTCAGAGTCATAGCTTCATCATAGGTTCTTGAAGAAACCTTGTATCATTTAACCTACTCCTTCATTTTAAGATAATAGCAATGTTGATTAAATACCTATTTTCTGGGCATTGGTATCTTTACGTACATTTTTCCTTTTCATAACTTTCCTACAAAAAGGAAGTAGGGAAGTACAGTACCACACTTACTTTACAGGAAACTGAGGCTAATAAAGGTTAAATAACTTACCTGCTGTAACTAGTAAGTGTCAGACCCAGGATTTAAACCCAGATATACCTCACTTCAGAGTTTGTATACCCTTTTTTTACTTTTCTACTAAAAGAGCCCCAACATTTACCTACATGGTATCACTGTGTAGATGGCTGAGCCTGGATTCTTTCTCATATGACTCAGTTCAATGATGCTTATATCTCACATTTATCCTGTTCTATTTTGTAAATTTGGCCCATTATTCCAACTTGTGGGGGTCTTCTCATGTGTGGGTTTTATTTCCTGCTAAATATTAGGTTAGCTTTTATTCTCAGCTTTTTGTCTTCCATTAATTTGATGACTATTCTATAATCAGCGCCCTGCATCAAAAATCATTACTAAAATGTTGAATAAAAACCACAGCCTGAGTATGGCGCCATGAGACATTCCACTACAGATTTCCATCATTAATGATAATTCTTTGTGTGATATTGTTTAGTCAGTTAGGGGTCAGTCTTCATTAATACCAAGTTTATATTTCTTCTTTTTATTTCCAATGAGAAGATGTCAAGAGAATCTTTTATCTGATGCCTTCCTGAGAGCCAGGTGCAGAATAAAGCATTCCTCAGAACAGCTGGTTTCATAGTGCTATTTTTTAAAATCAGTCTTATTTGAATTATTCGTATAATGAGCTTATACTTGTTTTAAGAGATCAGGGTATCAGAATCACTAGTTTGTATTTTAGGAAATGCTCTACTTCCTTTTTTTAAAAAAATTTTCACTATTTGTTGATTTGGATATTTTGAGTATGTCAGCTCTCTCCTTTGTGGTACAATGTTGATTGTTCTCAATTAATGTCTCGATTTGATCACTATCAACTTCAGCTAATCTACCCAACCATGGAACATCATCCAGTGAGAAATCTACAACACGAAACTTCACAAACTACTTTTAAAAAAAAAATTTAAAGTATATTTTATTAATTATGCTCTTACAATTGTCCGTTCCCCCCCGCCCCGCCTTGCCAGCCGCTGCCTGGTACCCCCCTTTCCTCCAGCACTTACTCCTCCCTTAGTTTATGTCCATGTGTCATGCATATAAGTTCTTAGGCTTCTCTATATCCTATACTGTTCTTAACACCCCCTGTCAATTTTGTAACCTGCCAGTTATGCTTCTTACTCCGTATACCTTTAGCTCCAGTCTCTCCCTTTCCCCTCGCAGCTGATAACCCTCCAAATGATCTCCATTGCTATGATTCTGTTCCTGTTGTGGTTGTTTGCTGTTTGTTTTTGTTTTTTAGATTCAGTTGTTGATAGTTGTAAGTTTGTTGTCATTTTAATGTTGATAGTTTTGATATTCTTCTTTTCCTAAAATAAGTCCCTTTAACATTTCATGTAATAATGGCTTGGTAATGATGAATTCCTTTAACTTTACCTTGTCTGGGAAGCACTTTGTCTGCCTTTCCATTCTAAATGATAGCTTTGCTGGATAGAGTAATCTTGGTTGTAGGTCCTTGCTTTTCATCACTTTGAATACTTCTTGCCAGGCCCTGCCAGCTCTAAAGGTTCTTTTGAGAAATTGGCTGTTAGTCTCATGGGAACTCCTTTGTAAGTAACTGTCTCCTTTTCTCTTGCTGCTTTTAAGATTCTCTCTTTATCTTTAACCTTTGGCATTTTAATTATGATGTGTCTTGGTGTGGTCCCTTTTGGGCCCAACTTGTTTGGGATTCTCTGTGCTTCCTAGACTTGTGGGTCTGTTTCCTTCACCAAATTAAGGAAGTCTTCTTTCATTATTTTTTCAAGTAAATTTTCAGTTTCTTGGCTCCTCCTCTTCTCCTTTTGGCATCCCTATGATTCAGATGTTGGCCCTTTTGGAGATGTCCTAGAGTCTTCTTATACTACCCTCGTTGTTTTTGAATTCTTGTTTCTTCATTCTGTTCTGGTTGAATGTTTATTTCTTCCTTATGTTTCAACTCGTTGATTTCAATCCCAGCTTCCTTCCCTTCACTATTTGTTCCCTGTGGGTTTTTCTTTATTTCACTTGTGTAGTCTTTATTTCTTCCCTTATGTTTTTGCCATACTCAATGAGTTCTCTGAGCATCCTGATCACCAGTGTTTTGAACTCTGTATCTAATAAGTTGACTATCTCCATTTCATTTAGTTCTTGTTCTGGGGTTTTGTTCTTTCATTTGGACCATATTTCTTTGTCTCCTCAATTTCTCAGCCTCCCTGTGTTTGTTTCTGTGTATTAGGTAGAGCTGCTTTGACCCCCTGTCTTAGCATTCCTGTTAAGTTGTATGCCGTGGAGCCTTAGGTATTCACTAGGGCAGGCCAACCCACTTCACTGCTTTGTGGCTCTGTGTGTATGGGAGGAGTCAGAGAGGGGACGGTGCTGCTGCCTGGCTTCTGGAGGCTTGCTTGGCACTTGCCCCATTTCCAGTCACTTCACCCACCTCCCACATGCAACTGGTGCCTTTCTAGCTGTTGCCCTCGTAGTGATTCCCAGAGTGAGTGGTTTTGTGTACTTTGTAAGTCTGTGTGGGTCCTTTAAATGGACTCTTCTGAGAAACTGGTGGTTTCTTCTGCTGCCCCAACCCCCAATGATTTTTATCACCAGAAGTTATGAGGCTTTGTCTTCCCAGCGCTCAAACCTTGGGCTGTGTGGTATAGCCTGGGGCTGGGATTGCTTGCTCCCAAAGTATCCCTCGCAATTTTTATCCACTACACATGAATGTGGGACTGCCTGTTCCGCCACTGCCACCTCTCTGCACGATACCACCCTAACTCTCCACCTCCACCCCTCCTACCCATCTGGATAAATATGGCTTCTTTAAATCCTTGGTTGTTGGACTTCCATATAGATCAGTTTTCTGGCAGTTCTGGGTGTTTTTTGTTTTGAGGTTAGTTGTGATTCTTCTTGTGGTTGCTTGAGGGAGGCGAAGGGTGTTTGCCTATGCCTCCATCTTGACCGGAAGTCTCTTCTTCCTGTTTTTGAAAATCATAATATTTAAGTAAACTTGATGACTGTTAACTGTTTCATTAAGTTTAAATTATGTTTTAATTGGAAGGATAGAAGTTCTTTAGAGAAGTAGAGGAGAAAAGCAGAAAGTTAAAAACCTCCACAGACTTTATGAAGGGAGACCCTGTATCCTTATAGATCTTTGTGGGATAGGGTAAAAAAACAACTGTTTTAACAAGAATTTAAGGAGAGGCCTGCAAATAAAGTAGACAGCCCAAAAAAGCAGTACTCTCGGACCATTAGAAGGAAAAGTGAAAGGAGAAAGGTAAGTAGTATGCATAGTAATTTAACCAAAAGCTGTAATGTGAATTTCACTTTCTTCAGCAAATCAGAGGTAAAACCATGAAAGTTGTTTTTTGTTTGTTTTTCTCTCTTTTTAATGACAAAGGAAGGGCAAAGAATGACAAAGCCAGCACTTGTTTACTTAGTTTGGATACCTCTAGTTAGAGCTAGTTTTCAACTTTTTTTTTGTTTCTTTTGCGATCGCAACTTCTTCTAGATTGGCTCGCCAGGAAATAAGTTTCTTCTTGTGACTCATTCATGTTTCAGGTTGAATTTTTATGACTAATAGGCAGGTAGGCTGTGATGTGATTAAAGTGAGGTCAGATAGATTTCACACTCCATTAATTTATAAGGCTTTTCATATGACTAGCTTACTCTGTTTTTCCAGAATGAGACAGTAGAATTTGTAGGGAAAGATTAAAAATAAGATACTAGCTCTAAATAGCTCTAAAGATTCTCATTATAGAATATAGAATTACAGACCACAGTAATATTGATATGATCTAGGAAATTAATATATAAATCAATGTTGGAAAAAATTACTCTGCTAATGTTTTAAAAAATCTCTGTTGGTCATAGTTTATAAAATTTTCATATTAATGTTTGTTTATAGATAGCATTACAAACTGATGCTCGTATAATAGGACAGACTGGTTTTGTCATATCAAGCCTAAATGACTGACAGACTGGTAAAAATTAGTTGGCAGATAAAGTTAGCAATGGTTTGATATGGGAAAGTCAATTGAGTTAGAGTTAATTAACTTTACTCAATAACTACAATTTAATCCAAACCCAGTCTGTAGGTGCCATTGGTCCTAAATTGAGTTGGACATATGCCCAGAACAGTCCAGATTTATTTTTCTAGTGGAATCTGGGAATCTCTCATTCATTCATTTATTCAACAACTATTTATTGAGTACTTACTTTGTGCCTATTCTTGTGGACACTTAAAATGTATTGGTGAACCAAAGATTCTTATTCTTTTGTTGTTTGCATTCTGGCAGGTAAGCAATAGGTAGGTTAGTTACATACTATGTTAGAAAACGGTGAATACTGTGGATAAAGTAAGTAAATAGAGCAAAATAAAAAAGAACAGGAGTACTAGGGTGTAGGAAGAAGAGTTGCAATTTTAAATAACATGTTTAAGGAAGGCCTTAACGGGAATGTAAAACTTCAGCAAAGACTTGAAGAAGAGGAGGTAATTAGCCATATAACTTATGGAGATACGTGTTCCAAACAAAGGAGTAAGGTAGGATATGCCTCGTGTGTTTGAGGACCTTGAGGAAGCAAGAGTGGCTGGAGTAGAACATGATACGAAACCTGGTCAGAGAGGATATAGGGGAGGTGGACAGTCAGATCATGTAGGACCTTGTAAATCTTTAAGAGAATTATGACTTGTGTTTTATGCGAAATGGGAAGAAGTGGCAGGTTTTAGTCAGTGGAGTGACATAACGTAAGTCTTAATAGAGTTTTAATAGGACAGTTTTGGCTGTAGTTTTGAGAGCAGACTATAAGGACACCTGGGTAACAGCAGTGGCAGAAACTCAAAGGTTGAATCCTGCTTATATTCTGTCATTTGTCTCATGGTCTACAGAGGGATAACACATTGAGTGGTTAACAGTTTCACCTGGGAGTCTGGCTGCTGGGATTTAGGTCCTGGTTTTGTTATTTACTATTTTAGTAAGTGACTTAACTTCTGTAACTTTATTTCTTATTTGTAAAATGAGTACTAGTAATAAATACCTCATTGAGTTATGACAATTAAACTGATACATGTAGTACTTTGAACTGTGCATGGCACTGTAAACCTACAAGAGTGGTAGTTAATATTATTTATCACTCTATTTTTGTCAGTTGCCAAGTCATGTTCTACTATCACAGTGTTTATTTAACAACAGTCACTTCCTTTCTGTAGCTGTTTTCAACATCCTAGTTCAAACTCAGAGAAGCTCTCGGCTGGACTATTGTAGCTACTGCCTGATTGATTTCCTTGCCTCCTTTCGTTCTGTCCCAGTCAGTCTTAACACACTACTGCTGGATTGTCACATTACTTCCATGCTCTAAAACCTTAATTCCTTTCCTCTTGCTTTCTAAATTATGTGCACATTTAATCCAGACTTTTCTTCATGTAGTTCCAGCTTGTCCTCTAACACAAGTATACAATACTACATGCCTTTACCCAAATTCCACATCCTCTGCTGATTTTCTCTGCCATTTGAAGTTCTTTTGATTTCACTTCAGGTGGCAGCATCTACACTATGCACTTCACATTTCACAATAATATTTCCCACTCTAATCATTTGAGTACTTCTCTAATCTTTATATTTAGATTTTGAACATTAGATGCAAGGAATTACATCTGTTATAGCTCCATACTTATAAGCCTGTATTTTGCTCTAGCGCCATACCATATGGTAGATGTTTTAGTAAATATTTACTGAATCAATTTTCTTTCAATTGTCATTCTTTTCCTCTAGGAATGATCAACAGCATCAAGCAGCTGAACTTGAATCTGAGGAAAATGTTATTCCAGATTCACCAATAACAGCCTTTTCATTTTCTGGCATTAATCGGCTACGAAGAAAGGAGAACCCCCATGTCCGATACAAAGAACAAACATACACTGAACAGGAGCAGTCTGGATATACAAATGGTAAGGATTAGATTTATACTTTAGTTATTTGGTTTTGTAAAAAATAGTATTTGTCTATTGTTTTTGTGTTATTCAGTGTAGTGGAAGGTAGATAGTCATTGTTCAGGTAAACTTGTGTTACACCTGTAATTTAACTTTCATTAGTGAAGTATCTAGGAAGGCATTTTCTGCCTGTATTATGTATAGACATGTGTTGCTCTTCTGAATATGTAAACACCCAGCATTTTATAAACATGGTAAATAGTTTCCTGGTTTTTTTTAATTTAAAAAAACATTCTTATGTGCATACATCTGAATGGGATAAAAGGAAAAAGGAAAGGAACTTAACATTAATTTTTACCTACTGTGTGTCAAGTATTATGCTGAGTGATCTAAATATATTATTACTATATTTTAATTCTCATGACAGGCTTACAGGGTAGCTAATTAGCACCTATATTTCATTGATGACAAAAGATGCTCTTTAGAAGAGTTAAATAACTCACTCGGGGTCACCTGTCAAGCAAGTAGATGAGTCAGGATTCAAATACAGATCTTCCTTGCTCTAAACTTTTTAATTTTCCAGGTCTTGCCCACAGCTATTCCATACTGAGAATCCTGTCCTTACTTGGCTATTTTTACTTGTTATAGTTTGTAGCAATTGATGGTAATCAAGAAATTGCTTTATAATGTATTTACCTCGTGGCTTACCATATCTGTTAAATAATTTGGAACTACTTTTTCTTTTTAGTCCTAAAATTTAACATGTGGCATGATGCAAAGTTTATTTCTTTTAATATTGATCTATAGTAAATGGTAGTCTTTAATTTTTAACCTGAACTTTTTGTAACAAGGGAAGCATTTTGGGGGAAGAGGTATACATAGTTCTAGACATATTTTTATAATGTAAATAAATTGTTACAGTAGCTATGCCTTTGAAAAAATAAGTAGATCTTATTCTTTGATAATGGAAAATTGGCATCATTTTCATCATTTTATATGAACTTGCATCACCATCTAGTGGAAAACAAGAGAACTGTTAAAAATCTTACAGTTAAGAGCTAAAGTAAAATGTAAGATCATTTTCTTTAGATCTAGAATGAACAGTCATTGATCTTTTAGTCTATTATCAGACAGGACAGGAGTCACATGTAAGCATCTCCATAATGTTTATGGTCATGTTTAAATCCGTGTATAAGAGTATTCAGAAAAACAAGTCACAACAATTTTATTAGAAAAACCTCATTTTATATCATAAAACCTTCTGGTTTGCCCTGGCTGGGTGGCTCAGTTGGTTGGAGCGTCATCCTGCAAACCAGAAGGTTGTGGTATTTGATCCCCCATCTGGGCACGTATCTAGGCTGCAGATTCGATCCTTTGTCAGAGTATGTACGGGAGGCAACTGATTGATGTTTCTCTTTGTGTCACTCTCTTTCCCTTCCTCTCTCTCTGAAAATCAATAAACACATCCTAGGGTGAGGATTTAAAATTTAAAAAAACAAAAACTAAAACTTCTGGTTTATTTCTTGTATGAGAATGATATATAACTTTAAAAATTTTGATTTGTCTGTTTTAAACTTGTTCTAATCATTTTTATTTGGAATCTGAAATTTTAGTTTAAAATGCAAGAAAACTTTTGAGCGATGCAAGTTATTTTAAAACTGACTTAATGACTACCTAGTCCTTTTTCTAACTGTGTTTGCTTGTTTATTTTAAAGTTTATACTGCTTTTTAAGATTATTTTCAGGTTACAATTAGTATAAGTCTATTTCCTTTTACTTACTCTTGTTGATTTGTTTTCTTTCAATTTCTGATAAAGTATGTTACAGGATTTCCTTCCAGAAAATAAAAATTCTAAAATAAAGATTGTGGAGATATGTGATATATATCCTTTAAAATCTATTTTAAATTAACCTACCGATTTGCAAAAAACACATAAGGAAAACATCCATTAAAATATTACAGCTCTGAGAGACTTAGGTCAGAAGAAGCTTGTCAGTTCTAGTTTTTTCTTCCACTGTCCTAACCGCTACAGATCTAACTTCTAGTTTTGTTTTTAATGAAAATATAGTAATGAACTCTTTAAAGAGAGGTTTGTATTGGCTTATCAAAATAATATTGGTGTATTTTTCATCATGATTGTTTATAGGTAATCTCTCCTTTTTTCACCCTTAGAACTGAGAAAAGTTCCAAAATCTTCAATTCATCCACAACATAAGCCTATTGAAAATGAAATTCTAGTGGCTGACACTTGTGATCAAAGTCAATCTCCAGTAACTAGTAAGCAAGATATTGAAATTATTTTATTAGTTTAAAATTTGTGGTCATTGGTGGGCAGGAGTGATCAACAGTCTGAATTAGGCAATATTTTAAAATATTCTCTATTAAATTTTGTTTGTATTATTAGTTATTTAACAGTCTTTTTTATATTATGAAATAATGTTATTCTACTATTAAATTATATTAACAGCACTATCAATATTAATACAAATTGCTAATAATTTTAAGTAAACAGTTTACTAATTGATTCAACAGATATTTTAGTGTTAATATATACTAGGCATTGAACAAAACAAAGCCCTTAACTTTATTGAGCTTACAATCTAGTTGGGGAGAGAAAGAAAATAAACAGATATATGTTAGGCTTTCTAGTATCCCTACTTTCCCTGCTTTCTTGAGAAAAAATAAAGCAGGGTAAGAAGAGATATTGGAAAGCCTCACTTTAAAAGTAACATGGAAACAAAGATGGAGGAAAGCAAATGAGTCATGTGGATATCTGGGGGAAGGACATTCCAGGTAGGTAGTGAACACAAAGAACATGAAATAAAGGTGCTGTTTGGTTGTTTGAGGAACCTTAAGGAGGTCTGTGTGGCTGGAGTAGACTGAATAAAGGGGAGATTGGTTTGGGCAACACTTTTCTTTAGAGTTACTATTTGCTAAGAGGGAAGAGGAGGTTTGCAAGGTAGGATGAAGGTGGTTAGAAATCAGGAGTTTGGTTTTGAGAGTATTCTGTTTGACATTCTGGATGGACATTCAGATAAAGATTTTGGGTGGGTAGGTGGATATGAAGTTAGAGTAGTCTAGGAGAGGGGAATGGAAGTGTTAGCATGGAGGTGATATCTAAGCCAAGTGAATATAAATGGAGAAGTTCAAGTACTTAGCCCAAGAGCATTACATTGTGTAAAATAGTGATTCTTAAGTTTTTCTCAATATCGCCTCCACCCCAGACTTTTTAGATTTTTTTTTATCTCTAATCACTTCCCCTATGGAATTTTAATAGTGTAGCTATATGGTATAAATATATGTGTATCTGTGCCTTACACGGAAAAAAAGTTTTTTTAATCCCCCAAAAACCATTTTTCACCTCCTTGGAGATGATATTGCAGCTGTAGAAGTAGTGATTTCAAGGTTGTTGAAATGAGGAGGACCCAACAAAGTAGCCAGTGAAGGAGCTACCAATGAGATAGGTGAGCGTGGTGTCCTTTAAGGCAGCTGGAGAGAGGAAGGAGAGGTCAGCTGTGGCAAACAGTGCTACGAGGTCAAGGAAGATAAAGACTAAGAATTGACCATTGGATTTGGTCTCATGGAGATCACTGACTGTTAAACTCATAACATGAACTGTTAAAGTATAAGGGTAATCAACTAGACTGCTTCATGGTCAAGAGAAACTGGGATCAAAACAGTGAAGAGAGCACTCCTAAACAAGTCCTTCAAAAGATGGGATATTATAGCATATTGGCAGTATATTTTTATATTGATGGGATGATCAAGTAAAAAGAGAGAAATGAATAATTCTGGAGAAAGAGGGAACAGATCCTTGAAAAGCTGAGAGGAGATGGGATCCAGAGCGCAATTCGAAGCGTTGGCTAATGTGAATTACTTACTCATTTTATATTAGTATAAAACTTACACTCTGAAAGCTGCAAATCATTTTATATTAGCATGTGTGTATGTTTTTGTGCAAGCACGTGTGCATGTGTATAGACAGACTGTCTGGCAAGGGGTGCCAGGGATGCAGCAGTGAGGGGGTGGGTTCTTGCTTCTCAGCACTCTGGAGCCCGTTCTCTTCTGCTGTTGCCAGGGACTTTTCTCCATCAATTGTCCTCTTTTCCTGTATCTCCTCAGCTTCTCTGCAGGTTCTTTGTTTTCAAAACATGCATAGCTGTTATCTTTCCTCTCTTAAAAATAACCTTTCTCTTGTCTCCATCCTTAGCTACAGCATCTCTTCAAAGCTGAAAAAATGATCTTTCAATATCTCTTCTTTTTCAACTCTGATTCACTTCATTTTGGTTGAATCCACTATCCACTCCATGTTCCCACCCCTAGAGAGAGGCAGGCGGTGAGGGGAAAGGGCACAGGGGAATGGAGGAAGAAGGGGGAAAAGAGGGAGAGGTGGCAGAAAAAGAGAATATATTCTCACATTTTCTCCTCTCATTATGTTGGAATTACTCTGGCAAAAGTGATCAGTGACTTTCTGGTTGTTAAATCTAATGAATATACTTCCCAGTGCTTATCTTGCTTGACCTTTCTGAGCCATTTGACATTATTGAGCCCTCTCTGTTTCTTGAAGTGGTGCCACTCCCCTGGGTCTCTTCTTACTGTTCTTTTTTCACCTTCTTTTATTGGCTGTTCTTTTTCTGTCAAATAAATGTCCCCAATATTTATGTTTCTTGGTCTATTCTTGTCTTAACTTTCTATCTCCTTCTGGAGGATTCTCACCTAGAGTTAGTATTCTGCTACAGTCTATATGATAATAAATCCCAAATCTACATCGCCATCCAAGACTTTTTCCTGGATTCCAAACCAGTATATCTGCCTGCAGTTGAATATCTCTACCTGGATATCCTTCAACTTCCATGTGTCCAAAATTGAAATTTTTCTGTCAAACCTACTCCTCATCCTTTTATTTACAGTCTCAGTGAATGACCCTCTACATACCTCTCTGAGTTACCCAAATCATAAAACTTGAAGTTTTCCTAGACTCCTCCTTTACCTCTCATACTTGAATAGTCTCCAAGTTCTATTGATTCCACCTCCTACATATGTCATAAACATTCTTCTGTACTCCCATTGTTCTAGTTTGAGCCATCAGAATTCCTAAGATTGTTTTAGTAATCTAATTAGTCCTCTTGCCTGTTATGATTGCTCTATCATTCTCTCATGGCTAGAATTACTTTTTAAGTCAAATATTGTATGTCCTCCATTAAAATCCCTTGGATAGCTCTTCATAGCCTACAGGATAAATTTTAAAGTCTTTAGAATAATCTGATTCCTCACTGACCTGTCTGGGCTTATGGCCTACTACTGATACATCTGTAGTACTTTGATTTCCAGCAATTGAACCATATGTCGTTTCCTGAACATGTAATTTTGTTTCATTTATATAGACCTTTTCACTTGCCTAGAACCTTTCTTTCTGCCCCCAATCCAATTGACCTGTCAAATTCTTCTTTGTCTCAAATTCCCCTTAGACTTCTTTCGATATAGCTTTTGCTGGTTTTCCAAGGCAGATTTAGGAGTTCTTCTATATTTAAATCACCCTTTTTAATGCACCTTTATTATAATTTTTATCACATTTTATTGCAATTCTCTTTTTACCTTTCTATTTCAACTATAACCCATAAGTTCCTTGAGGACAGAAATCTTTTCTTTTCATCTAATGCCTAGCACAGTGCCTGGAACATGATATGTGCCCCATAAATACTTGTTGAGTTATTGGAACTCTATATTTATAAAATAAAAAATTTGAATGTAGGTGATTTTTATATAAATATATGTTAGCTTAAAACTTGAAATATATGCAGTGCTGAAAATCTTTCCCATAAAGTATGTTTTATGAAAGGTACTATAAATACGGTTTAATATATCTTGGGTCACAGTAAATCCATTATAAATATATGCTTTTGTGGTATTTTTTGGTAGCAAAATGAAAAAATAATCTTATCTGTTGTTTTCAATTCACTTACTATAAATAGAAAACTTAGCTGAAAATATTTTACAAGTGTAGATGCTAGATAACTGCAACTTATTGCCTTTTATAGTAGATATTTTAGGCACAGAATTTAAAAAATTATTCAATGCTAGCTTGTAAAATGGTTCTGAGAGCCTTTTATTCCTTTTTTGTATTATTTTATACATTTAGTTTCTACAATTGTGTAATTGGGTGTTTTTTTTTCCATACTTAGAAACACGTGGAACAAGCAGTTATCCCACTGATAAATCATCTTTTAATTTAGCTACAATTGTTGCTGAGACACTTGGACTTAGTGTTCCAGAAGAATCTGTAAGTAGTTGTTTAGTTTGGTGATAATAAAAATTAATCAGTGTCCTTTTGGGTCAGTTTTTAATAGAATTGAGTAAAAGTATTCAATGATTTAAAGATCACTGAATAGAGGACTAGAACAAAATTGATGTGTCTGGAAAGGCTCATTAAGTTATCCACCCCAGGCAGTCCCAGAAATTACAATTCTTGTGATACAGATTGTGGGTTGAATCAAAATTTAAGGAAGTCATAATGGCTTAGAGGGTTTGGCCAACCCTATTCCGTGCCCCTTCTCCCCTATTCTTACCCTGTTTCATCTAAAAGACCTAAACCTTTAGGTTTATTTCAGAATTTATTGGATCTTCTCAGCATACATTAAACTGGGGTTTAATTTGAAAAACAAGATGAATTCTTGGGACCACCATATATAGTTTAATTCTCTGTCCTATTAAGTGCCAAACCAAAAAGACCTAGGTCTTTGGGATTGGGTTAGTAATTGACCCCATGATTCTTTTTTTTTTTCCCTTCATTATTTTAGTGCTTCCTTATATCAGACACATTTACTTTCCTTTTTTTTTTTTTTTTCCAGAGATAGGGGAAGGGAGGGAGAAAGAGAGGGAGAGAAATATCGATATGCCAGAGATGCATCAATCAGTTGCCTCTTGTATGCCCTCAACAGGGGACCCAACCTGTAACCCAGGCATGTGCCCTGCCTGGGAATCGAACCAGCAACTAAATTCACTGAGCCACAGCAGCCAGGGCTACTTTTTTGTTAATTGAGCCCCAAAAAATAGAAAACTTGAATTCTTCAATCTTAAGGAAGTTTTATTTTGATACACTCTAAAATAGTATTCCTATTCTTTAGTTGGTAAATGTGTATGTACTTATAAAGTGGTCTTGTTATTTATTGAATTTGTAAAAATTAAATTGATTTTTATTACATTTGGGTAATTTATTCTTTCTAGTTTTAAATCCATATTCAAATGATAGTGGGTAGTTTTTAGCCTTTGAACTTTAAATATGTTTTAATGGTTTTTAATTTTCTCCTACCCATAATCCTGGCAAGTCAGTAGTTTTGACACCAAATATATTAAGGGAGCTGATCTCTAAAGATTTGGTGCTCAAATGTGATCCACAGGCCAATACCATCTGCGTCATCTTGAAGTTTGTTAGAGATAACAGAAAGACAGAATCTCAACTACCACCACAGACCTCCTGAAAGAAAACTTTGCATTTTAACAAGAACCCCAGTTGACTTGTAGGCATATTAAAGTTTGAGGACCACTGCTCCCTAAAAGAGCCTTTTATCTCCTGTCAGTATAAATAATCATATCTTTTCCTTTCCCTTCATCTTAGTAATTTGGGGGGGAGGGGGGTGGAATTGGAGTTTTATATATCAGTAACAGAATGTACTTACCTAAAATAGTAAAATATTAATGCTTTTCTCTCTTTAAACTTAAAATGTACAATAAAATATTTTATTGTGATAAAAAATGCACATTGTCACGACCAGGTAGCTCAGTTGGTTAGAGCATCATCCTGATACTCCAAGGTTGCAGGTTCAATCCCCAGTCAGAGCACTTACAAGAAACAACCAGTGAATGCATAAATAAGTAGAACAATGAAACAGTGTCTCCTTCTCCTTTCCTCTCTCTCTCTAAAATCAATTTTTTAAAAACTTAATACACATAACATAAAATTAACCATTTTAAAGTGTACAATTCAGTGGCATTTAGTATAGTTACAGTATTATGCAACTGCCACTTCTGTCTATTTCCAAAGCATTTCATCATTCCCAGAGAAATCCTATTAAACATTCAGCCCTTATTGTCACTATTTGCAGACTCTGATATTCACCAGTCTGCTTTCTGTCATTATGGATTTACCTATTCTGGATAATTCATGTAAATTGAATTGTACATTATGTGGCTTCTGAGTCTGGCTTCTTTTGTTAATCTGATTTTTAAGGTTCATCCACACTGTAGCATGTATCTGTATTTCATCCCTTTTATGGGAAAATAATATTTCATTGTATTTATGTACTTTATATTTTACTATTGAAGGAATCTCAAGGTCCTGTGAGCCCTCTTGGTGATGAGCTCTACTGCTGTCTAGAAGGCGATCATAAGAAACAACCTTTAGAGGAATCTACAAGAAATAATGAAGATAGTTTAAGGTAATTGAGGACACTTTTGTGAAAATTTATAAACTATTGGTGAAATCCTATTACACTGAGTACCATATAATTAAACTATTTCTCTCTCAACATGTAGTTTGTTATTTTGGTTGTATTAATTTGTATTTTAACAAATATTTTCTGCAGTTTAAGACCAGTTGAGGGCTTTTTGCATTACTGCAGAGAGATGGATGTTACTTTTAGATTCTTTCTGTATTCCAAGCAGTGCTAAAGAGTTCCCAACCTTGCTACTCTGCTCCTTTAAAGACCCAGTCATCCCTTCTGGGTTTGCATTTCCAAACACTGGATGTTGTATAAAGCTTGAGTGAGATTACATAAAGATTGTGTTGCATTTTGTTTTTACTAATTTCAGAACATCCATTAACTAATAACACCTATATTTATGTAGCATTTTGATTTTTAAAAGAGCTTTCAGTTTCAGGTACATATATCACATTTAACTTGTCATTATAATAACCCATTAAAGTAGGCTTTATGACGCCCATATTTTGTAGTCAACAAAAATGTAGCTTCAGAGAGGTTAAATGCCTTTTTTAAGACCACATAGCTATTCAATACTAGAAGCAGAGCTCTTACCCATCCCCCATCTTCAAACAAACCTAATGCTCTTTCTGCTACCAAAGCTGTGTCCTCTGCTAGAGGCAGGCTGTTTCTTTATATATGTTCACTTCTTTAGTATAAGAATTTTGTTTCTTGGAGTTACTCATGGCAAGATTTCATAACAACAAAAGAAGTTGGGTCCCCAGTGGAATTTATTAAAATATGATTTTCTTACATAGTGATTATTTAGGAAAAATGTTTATAGGTATTGAGATAGAATGATTGTATTGTTTTTCTCTGCTTTTTGTTAGCTAAAAGAATAGAAGCCAGCAACTATATCCTATTGTAAATACTGGTGAATCACCTATCTGCAATACGTAGACAAGACCTTACTGTTAATACTTTTATATTTGCATACAGTTTCTCATCATGCTTGTCTTTTAATTTTTATCCTTTTCTTTAATCAGAAAAAAAGTTTTACCACTCTTTATTTTCTTAGATTTTCAGATCCTAATTCAAAGACTCCTGCTCAAGAAGAGCTAACTACTCGGGTATCATCTCCTGTATTTGGAGCTACCTCTAATGTGAAAAGTGGTTTTCGTTTGAATACAAGTTTGTCCCCTTCTCTTTTAGAGACCGGGAAAAAAAGCCATCTGAAAACTGCACCTTTCAGCAGCACTTCTAATTCTAGATCAGAGAAAACTAGATCAAAATCTGAAGATAGTTCCCTTTTCACACATCCCAATCTTGGGTCCGAAGTAAACAAGATCATTAACCAGTCTTCTAATAAACAGATACTTATAAATAAAACTGTAAGTGAATCCATAAGTGAACAGGATAGTAGTGATCACATTAAAAATGCTATTACTGATAAAGATAAACATGTGATACCACTGAAATCATTGGGATGGAAAACATCCAAAAGGAAGAAAATTGAGGAAGAAAGTGAAGATGAAGTAAGCTGCACCCAAGCATCTTTGGATAAAGAAAATGCTTTTCCTTTTCCACTGGATAGTCATTCTTCTATGAATGGAGACTATGTGATGGATAAACCTCTAGATCTGTCTGATCGATTTTCAGCTATTCATTGTCAAGAGAAAAACCAAGGAAGTGAGACCTCTAAAATCAGATATAGGCAAGTGACTCTCTGCGAGGCTTTGAAGCCCATTTCAAAGAGCTCTTCCTCAAGCAGAAAGGCCTTGAGTGGGAGCTGTGTGCAAACCAAAGATTCCCCAGGGGAGCTCTGTTTACAGGAGTGCATCCTCCAGCCCCTGAGTAAATCCTCCCCAGATACCAAAATACCATTACAAATAAAGGAAGAAAATCCTATCTTTAAAATCCCTCTACATCCACGTGAAAGTTTGGAGACAGAAAATCTTTTTGATGACATGAAGGTTTGTGTAAAATATTCAAGGATTTAAATGGTTTAAATGGTTGTTTGTGACTTCATCTAGATGGTAATAATTCTTTCTGTTTTAGGATGCTGGTTCTCATGAGCCAGTAAGAATAAAAACCAAGTCAGTTCATGGAGCCTGTGAACTTGCATCAGTTCTTCAGTTAAATCCATGTAGAATCACTAAAATAAAGCCTCTACAAAACAATCAAGGTAATGCACTATACATAGTACTTCCACTCTGTATATATTATCTTGATGTATTATTTAAGATAGTAAATATCTTAATTAAATACCTTACTTACATTCTTTGGATAGAGTGAGTTGTTTTGGGAGAAAATTTTCTTCATGCATTTTTCTGTGTTTACAGAATAATTTTCATTGGGTTCATTTTACATGTAATTATCCTTCTCGAAACTTTTAGAAAAAATGAATTGAGATCTTTAATACCTACTTTTATAAGTGATTTTGTGGATTTACGTATTTTATATAGTTATTTCTTATTTTCTTTACAAAAGCTTTAAAAAACTTAACACCGAATTTTAAAACATATAAAGTAGAACTTTCATCATCCAAAACTTGTTCCTCAGTCCATAGATAGCCTCTTCTTTTTCTTTGCATTTACATGTCTGTCAGCATGTACACGTAGACATACATACAGGCATTTATATGGGTTTTCCAGCTTCTAGTTTGTTTGCTCTAATACTTATATATGTATTAATCTGTTCACAAATCTGCTGTGTTTAAAAGGAGACTTTTGGGTTTTTTTAGCCATCAAATATTTCTGTACTTCATATGCAATATTTTTTCTTTTATTCTTTATTGGAAAGTTATTTCTTCATTCTGGGTTTCTTTTTTTCCTGAAGTAATTCTTGTTCTTCCAACAAGAGTTTCAGCCTCTGTATAAAAATATGTTTTTTCCACTCTCAGTCTTTTTTTTTTAATCTTTTTTATCTTTTTTTATAATTGTTCTAATGAATACAGCATATACCTACTTAATCTTTCATAATCTACTTAGAGTTATTATTGTACCACCTTATGTTCTGTTACTGTATCTTAAATAGTTGTCACGTATCGCTACATACACTAAAAACCCCCTCAATGTTACAATTTTAACTTAAAAAAATTTTTGACATAAAAATCACATTAAAATTTATAAAATTCCTAAAAATTATAAAATTATTGTTCTCCTTATACTCCCAGAACCATGCAACCACTACTACTGTCTCAGTTTAGAACATTTTCATCATCTCAATAAAAACAGAAAGAACAGTATCCATTAACAGTCATTCTTCATTCCCCACGCCTAAGCAATCACTATTTTCTGTCTCTAGATTTGCCTTTTCTGCAGTTTTTATATAAATGAAATCATAATTTTTGTGACTTTTTTTACTATTTCACTTTTTTACTATTATGAATAATGCCATTATGAATATTGATGTACAATTTTGTATAGATGTATGTTTTGTTTTCTTTCTTTCTTTTTTTTTTTTTTTGTTTTTTTGTTATACATAGTAATAGAATTGCTGGGCCATATGCCAGTTCTGTTTAACTTTTTGAGGAACTATGTAACTGTTTTCCAAAGCAACTACATTTTATATTCCCATCAGCAAAATGTGATGGCTTCGGTTTCTTCACATCCTCACAAACATTTGTTATCATTTGCCTTTGATTTGAACCATCTTATTGGGTGTGGAGTGGTATCTCTTTGTAGTTTTGCTTTGCCTTTCCCTAATGGCTAATGACGTTGAACATCTTTTCATGTGCTTATTGGCCATTTGTATAACTTCTTTCAAGGACCATCTATTAAGATTTTTTGCTCATTTTTAATTGAAGTATTTGTCGCATTATTGAGTTGTGAGAGTTCTTAATCTATCTTAGATACAAATCCTTAACCAGACAGGATTTGCAAAACTTTTCTCCCATTCCTTGTGTCCCACAATGTTTTAAATATGTTCTTAATTGTATATATATATATTTTTTTTCCTTATCAAAGATGTACCCTTTGAAAATATCCAGTGGAGTATAGATCCAGGAGCAGACCTTTCTCAGTGTAAAATGGATATTACTGTAACAGATACAAAGGTAAGTTAGAAAGTAAAACAAAAGCCCACATGATTATTCTAGTGAGCTCTGAATCACTTCCCTCTCTCACTGTGTGACCTGGAGATATTCACATACCTCTTAAAACCTGCATTTATTTATTTAGAAAGCTAAGAAACAAAAGTACCATGTTTTTCCATGTACAGTGTGCACATTTTTGCCCAGATTTTTTGGAATACAGAGGAATAAGAATGTGCATGGATATAAATGTTTTTAATTCTTTTATTTATGCTTATGTGTTAAGTGTAACTCTAGGAAGCAATAACAATATCCATATGCAAAATAATACCTTGAAATATCATTGGTTTTATATATAAATAAAAATTGAATTAAAAAATTAAAACAAAAGATTTTTTTCCTGAAAGTTTAGGCCAAAAACGTGGGTGTGCATTACACATGGCAAAATATAGTACTTATTCTTCTAACTTTATCATATCTTTGAAAGAGTAATACTTTCTGACTTTAGAGGCCTTTGCTGAAAAATATAATTATAGTTTCAAAATAATACAAAATGCTAGTAATTTATTTTAAATAATTATTTATTAAAACCATCATGTGCTTTAACTTTTAAAGTAATGTACAATCAAAAAAAAGATTTTATTTTCCCAGCTAACTACAGTTTAAAATACCATATTTTTTTAAATTTAAAATTCAAAGTAGAAATAACTCGTTTGGCTTATATTTATATAGTTTGGATTTATATAGTTAGGATTTATATAGTTTGAGAAGTTCTCTTTTACTTGATAGTATATTTAAAAAGTATTTAGCGATTGTTAAAGTAGTATATAGCGATTAAGAAATCAGGTTTGATGTATGAAATTGGTGTTCTTTGTGCACATTGATGCCCACTACTGTGAGGCAGAGTGGAGAAGAAAGAAACGGGAAGCTGAGGGAGGGCAGTGCTCTGTAGCTTCCCTTCTCTGGCAGCAGCCCCCCTCTCCTTGGGATGAGAAAAGATGCCTGTATATCCAAGCTAAAATGTTTTACAGGCAATAAAACCTGAATCTGCCTATATTCCTAAAAAGTAAAAGTAAATATAACAATGATACTACAGTGTACAATTAAAAATGGTTAAAATGGTAAAATTTTTATAAATATTTTTCTAGAAATTTTTTAAAAGTAAATATAAAGCCATAAAAGGGTAATTGTTAAAATTCTGAATTTTTAAACATCCAGGATGGCAGTCAGTCAAGATTAGCAGGAGGAGAGACCGTGGACATGGACTCTACATTGGTTAGTGAAACTGTGCTTTTAAAAATGAAGATACAAGAGCAGAAGGGAGAAAAAAGTCCAAGTAAGATTTGATTTTTTTTTTATTATTTTAATAAAAATATGAAGGGGAGTTTGTAGGCCTACCAGTTGCATTGATAAGCACAGGTGATCTCTTCACCATAAACCAGATGTCCCCCCAACCCCTGTCTTTATAATACCAGGTTTCTGTTAATAAAGCCTAATTTCAATATTTCAAAGGAATAAAAATCTTTAGCCAAAATCATTTTTACTTTAGAAAAAACTCAAATTGTTTCCAGGGGTCAGCAAACCACAGCTGGCTGCCAGTTTTATGGGAGTATGCTTGTTGAGACAGCAGAGTCGAGTAGTTGCTGCAGAGACCTGACCAGCCCAAAGCCTAAAAACATTTACTCTGTGACCCTGGAAGAAAAAGTGTACTAGTTTGGCATGAATGCCATAGGCATGAGGATGGTGACCTGCAGCCAGAGCAAGAGACCTGGGTCCAGGCCACGGGGGGCTGGAGGGAATGCTGTGCAATTCTGGAGGGGAGAGGTGACTACGGAAGGAAGGAAAAGCTACTGTCCTGTGAAGCATCAGCAGAAGTCACAAAGCCTCAATATGGCCAATGAGGTCTCAGATGGTGAGAAAGGAGAGGGGACCAAGCCATTCAAGGCGCCAGGCTGGGAGCCTCAGAACTGGCAGCAGTAGCTGGCAAACCTTCACACCATGAGGAGTGGGAAGGACATGCCTGTTGACCAGCTCAGGGCTGAGCACTGCTATAACCCCAGTGCTCCCCAAAGTGCAGAGGTACCAGGTGCTGTTGTCGATGATGCTCTACAGCAAGACCAAAAACCAGGTGACAGCAGTGCATGCAGCAGGTGCGGGCCCAGGGCATGCAGGTGGGTGGCATCCTGCAGACAGATGACAGCATGCTGGGCACACTTGTCTACCCTGTGGGCTTCTGGAGGAAGAAGGTGAAGTACATCAAACAGACCAGTGCCATCCTGCAGCAGCACTATGGCAGGGGCATCACAGGCTCTGTGACAGAGTTAGGGGCACTGCCAGGCATTAAGCCCAGAATGACACAGTTGGCCATGGCTGTGTCCTGGGACACTGTGTTGGACACCACAGTGGACACATGCGCACAGAATCAACATCCAACTTAGGTGGACGAAAAAGGTAACCAAGTCCCTGGAGGAGACCCATGCAGACCTGCCTGCCTGGTCCACTCGTGCTGCTAAGCCTGCCTCAGTCAGGCCCTGTGCCACCTGACGGGGGCTCTGAAGGCTGTGTCTGCTCTGCAGCTTTGCTGGAGAGCTGCAGCCTGTTCATAGTAAAGCTTAGGAATTTGCAAAAACAAAAAAAGAAAAAAATTTGCTGAGCTTTAGTTTAGATAATACTTTTGTAAAAAGTGGGGAATCTTGAGAGTCCTGTTTTAAAAATACAATTTTACAAAGCAATTTCATAAGGCAAAAGTAGGGGGTGGGGTGTTGGTCCTACTGAGAGTTAGTATAAATTTGCAAATTAACAGTAAACTAAGAACAAGAGGTACTCTGCCGTTCTCTGCTTCTACAAAAAATGGAATTCAGCCAAATTAAGGGTCTGCAGCCCTTTGTGTTGAGAACCTGTTAAATCTTCATCTGAAGCCTTGATTTTCCAAAAGAGGCGGGAACAATGGAAGGACTTTGGTCAGCACCACCTTAGCAACATTCCTGGCTAAAGAAACTTACGCCACAAGATCAACTAGACTGGGACTAGTTTCATTTATCATCCTTATGAATTGAGGGTGTAGGACCTGCAACTTGGGGATGCAGTACAAAAAGCACTGGCATTTTCCAACCATTATCTATTGGAAACTGAGGACATTCAGACTGTATTTGCATGTCTCTGATTCTGTAGCCTACCTGCTCAGGACTAAATAATAAAATAGCTATTCTTGTTCTCCCTTCTTTTGAGACACCTTATCTCTTGCTTCCCTAAATGCAGTAAGTGAGAGAAAATTTTAATACTTTGCTCTAAATCTTTGTTCTTTAGAAATAAATAACTATTCATGTGGTCAAGTAGCTGGCTGCCTGAGTTGTGGTAGGACAGTATCTATTAAAAGAAAAACGTTAGTAATGATGTATTGTCTTCTTATAGTGAATAACACAAATAATTTTCTTCTTAAGAGGATACTTTACTTTTAAGATTATTTTGTTCATAATATCAGCTCCTGATAATGTTTTTTGTAGAAAGGGGAAAAACTGAAGTGTGACTACTTTTGGTTTCAAATTTATCTAGTTGATTGAAAGAACATAGTAGTTCCCCAATGTATATGAAGCAAGAATCATGTAGAAGTGAAATTGGAACTTCAATTGATGAGTTTGAACAAATAATTTTGTCTAAATAAGATGTTGTGTATACTATTGGTGCATATAGTAAGTTAATTCAGTAACTTAAAGGATTGAAAAAACTTGTTTTATCTTTTGTAATTTCTATGGCTCAGGAATTCAGGAAGGGCTTGACTGGATGGCTTTGTCTCAGAGTCTGTCATGCAGTTGTAGGCAGGTGGTGGCTGGAGCTGAAAGAGCGGAGGGCTAGACAGATGGGGGTGATTTGGCACCTCTCCTCATTCAGTCTTAGGGATTCTCCATGTGATATTTCCATGAAGGCTGGTTTAAGCCTTCTCATCACATGGAGATTAGGTTCGCAAAGTGAGAATCCCCAAAGAGCAAGATAGAAATGAATGACATTTGTATGATGTGGCTTCAGCAGTTGCATAGTGCCACAAAGACCTGCCTAGGTTCAAAGCAAGAAGAACATGGCCCTCATTATTCGGTGGGAAAAGTGTCAAGATCACATTGTAAGAACAGCACATGGGATAGGAGATACTGCTGAGGCTGTATTTGGAAAAAACAGTCTTCCCATTTTATCTATAAGGTAAACCTTTTTAATACTTAGAAACCATTACAAATGAAACACACCAATAAAAACTCCCAGTTGTTGCTAACATTTCAACTCACAAAATGTTTTTTTGTATCCCTACTCTGTGTTAAGATTTATAGATGTTATGATAGAAAGGTTAGTAGGATATAGTCTCTGTACCCAAATATTTTATAGGAGAAGCCAGACCCCTAAAAACTCAGTGACTTATTGTGATTTACTGACAACATATACAGAATGCTGTGGAAATGCCTAGCACACTGCCTAGCACATCCAAGTTCTATTTATCTAGAAATTAGACTTTCAAAATGAAAACTAAACAAATGTTTATTCAGTAATTATTAAGCCATAATTCTATACCAGGAAGTGTTCCAAGAACTAGAAACAAGGAGTAAACAAAACAAAAGTACTTACCTCATGGACTTTACATTCTAATAGGGAAGAAACAAGCAAATATATGGTACAATAAATGATGGTAAGTGCTGGCGAAAGATAAAATACTGTATGGGTGCTAGAGCACTATGGATTGGGGGAAATAGGAGTTTTTTTATAGTGTAATCTCAATAGGCTTCTGTTCTGTCATATTTATTATCCAACTGACTATATTTCCATTTTTTAGTAAATTCTGGTGTTTTTTTAAAAATGTGATTATATAATGGGAAATATAGTTAATGCTCTGAAGATGAATTCAGCACTTTGCACGTCAAATGTGGAATTGAATTCACTATCAATAGCACAAAGTGTTAATTGTAATGCAAGAAAATACTTTTTTTGCTGCATTAAATTATTTAAATTAAAAATAAGCAGGTAAGCAAAATTCTATAGAGATTTTGATGTCAGCTTTTTTTAAATATACATATTATTTAAACAGTATTTTTTATTCATTATGATGTATATTCTATTCTTCAGTTTCTTTGGTAGGACTCCTTTTGGTTTAGTATAAGTTATTACATGACGTGACAGGTAGGAAAAGATTTTTAATGTGTGTAATGAAAATAACAAAAACTAGCATTCTCTTTACATGCATAAAGGACATAAAAAGCCACAATAAAGGTGTTGTGACTGTACAGTAACTACCTAGACTTGGGAATTTATTCTTGCCTTATGCACAACTGAATTATTTTGTGCCAATTACTAAAAGTTTCACCTTGTACAGAAAGCAAAATGCTTGCATGTTGCCGAGTCAATGCTCTTTTACATAGATGGAGAAAGAAAAATGAATGATAGCTTGGAAGATATGTTTGATAGAACAACACATGAAGAATATGAGTCCTGTTTGGCAGAGAGCTATCCTCAAGTAGCAGAGAAAAAGGAATTGTCAGCTACAACAAAGAAACCAAACAGTAAGGCTATTTTCTTTCTAATTATGGCTTATCAGTTACCCGAGTTAAGTAAATTAAGTCATGAAGCTAATTAACAGAGACTGGATGAGGTATATTAACAGTTAAAGTTTCATGTTGCTTGTATGAATTTTCTTTTCACAGATTTCCTTTTTTTTTCAGACTAATAGAAGAATTACAAAAATAGTTCAGAGGATTCCCCTGTACCTTTCACTCAGCTTCCCCTATGTTAACATCTTATATAACTATAAAATATGCCTCAAGGCTTAGAAATTAATCTTGATTTGATAGTATAGATTTCTCTATAATATGCATAAAGTTTATAAATTTTTAAGGAACTTCTTTTTTAAGTAATAAATTAATGATTGTAATACAGTGAAAAGAGAGGGTTTTGCAGAAAATTCAGGCTTGTGTCCTGTTCAATGCTTTATCTTCCTAGACAAAGTACTTAATATAAAATAGATATACATATTATATATAATATATGTCAATATAATGTATATTATTTATTTATTTATTTATGTAATCAGTCTTTTTAAGATTCATTTTATTAGAAGCAGTAGTTGTAATGTAGGGTAGGAACCAAAGGAAGAATACTCTAACTGAAGCTCTTAGATGGTCTGAATTGAAAGTTAGTTAAAATTCTTGCTAAATATCTCATTTTCTTCCTGTGAGCAAAATAGTCAGAATTTTTAATTTTGTGCAAAGTTTTTTTAAATGCTGATTTAAATGAGCACACCTTCTGGGAGGGGGTATGTTTTGAAAATGACAAGACTGAGCTCAAAGTGAATGAGACCTTAAATTCAGACAAAGAACAGCATGCTTTGCTTACTTGGTCTATGGCAAAAACTTGGTCAAGCAAATTTTGTGACAAAAATCTACAGCTGTGCAGTTCACTTTTTTCCTTCAAGAAGATCCTTTCGCAAATTGGTTTCACTTAAAAAAAAAAAAAAGAGGGTATTCTTTTGCAAGATATAATTAATTTGTCTCTTTTTAAGTAACATTTCATCCGGACCATCCCAAAATTTCTTCTCGCTTAGCTTTTGTGATGGTGCTCCACCATCCTTTTGAACTCTGACAACTTTTTTCTGCAATATCTCCAAGACTCTGTTTTTTTTCTCTCACATTCATTTTCTCTCATGCTTTTATTAACCAGCTCTGAAATTATGATCACACTTCTATCTGCACCTCTAGTTTGACTTATCTGAATAGTCCCAGTCCTGCATTTCTTAGTATTGCTGCTTTCGTGTTGCTTCAACAGCTTAAATTTAACATATCCAAACCAAGTTCCATTTATTTCCCACTTTTCAGGTGCTTTTATTTTTCCTAGTTAAATTAGACACTCAAATGGAGGTGTTTATTAGGCAATTGATGTTTGTTGGGTTTGAACAAAAAAATACAGAATACAGAAATGATTTTAGGGGACAGGGGGTCAACAGCAAGTTGGTTGTGCTTAAATCCATGAAACTGAATGAGGTCATCAAAGTATATATTGAATATAAATAGAAAAGAGAATCAGTTTGAGTTCTTACCTTTGAGAATAGCAACTTTAAAAAGAGAAACAAAGAAGAACCAGCAAAGGAAATTGAGAAGGAGCTACAGCCGGTGCCGTATCATGAGGGAAATGAGGGTATATGCTGTTGTTCTGGAGCCAAATAGAAAAGATTTCAGCCTCATTCTCTCTCTTCTGAACCCCAGATTTGAATTTAACTACCTATTTACCATAAGTACCTTGAACTCAATATATTGAGATTAAAAATCTTTATTTTTCTACGCAAATTTGATCTTCCCCTACCTTTCAGGGTCTCATTAAATCCCATTATCCTATCCTTACATTTACCAAAGATAGAGATGTGATCGTCATATTTTACTTTTTTTTCACCTCACTTTCATGCCCAATCTGATGGCCTGGCAGTCCTATCTCCAAAACGCACTCCGTGTCACCTCATCTCTGTCGCCATCACCCTAGTCTACACCACTCCCCTCTATTCTATCACTAGCCTCCTAATTGGTCTTTTCATACCAGTTTTTTTCCTCTCTAGTTCAGCCTCTTAACAGAATCAAAAGTGATTTATTTTAAATATAAATTGGCTTCTATTATCTTGCTTAAAGACTTTTCAATGGAAAGAAGGTAATTTGAATGGCTAGTAAGCACATGAAAAGATGCTCAACTTTATTGGGTATCAGGAACAAAGACACCACTTCGCATCTGTTGAAATGGTTAAAAAGACTGGGAATATCTAGCATCTGCAAGGGTGAAGAGCAACTGGAGCTCTCATACACTGCCAAGGGGATTATAAGATTGTGCCTTGGAAAACAGTTCAGTGGGGCTCTTTTTGACAGCTTTATTGAGGATAGTGAGTTTTCTGTCATTTAAACTTACACCTGTCCTGTGACCCCACAGTTCCTCCCCTACGTATGATATACCCAAGGAAAATAAAAACATGCTCACAGAAAGATGCAATAGGGAAGGTTCATAACAATGCTGTTTATAATAGCTCAAAACTGGAAACAACCCAAATGTCCATCAGCATGCAAATAAATAGAAATTTTAGTATACTCATGAAGAATAGTACTTCTCAACGAAAAGGAAGGAAATACTAGACTCAGCAACATGACTGAATCACCAAGACTTGTTGAGTTAGAAAAATGCAAAAGATCAAAAAGAATACATACTACATAATCCCATTAATAGAAGTTCTAAAATAGACATAACTAAGCTATGGTGATGAAAATCGAAGCAGTGATTGTGGGGAATGAGGAGACATGAGAGTGCATTCTTGTGTGAAACAATGGAATAGGAGGAAACTTTCAGGTGTGATGGAAATGTACTTCGTCTTGAAATGTATACTGGAATATACATTTGTCAAAATTCATAGTACACTTAAAATCAGTGTATTTTACATGTGAATTATACCTCAATAAAGTAGATTCTTTAAAAAAAAGCCTTCAGTAGCTTTCTGTTGCACTTAACAATAAAATTCATACTCCTTTTGGCCTCCAAGGCCCACTGTAATCTGGCCCCTGCCCATCTCTCCAACCTCAGCTCCTCCAGCATCTCTATCTCTCTTTGCTAAATCTCAACCACACTGGCTTTCTCTTAGATTTTATAACTTACAAACATTTTCCTATCTCAGGACCTTTACCTAGAACATTCCCTACTCCTCCTCCTTCCCATGGCTATCTTCTTGTTATGTGTCTGTTACAACCCTACATGTTCTTCCTCAGATACAGGCCTTGGCTGTCTACTTGCTTAATGTTCAACTCTCTGCTTACTTAATGTCTGTTTCCCTCACTGCATGTAAACTCCATGAGGACAGGAGACCTGGTCTCTTGTTCTGTACTTCACGTGCAGAATTTAGCACAATGCTGAATACATTTTGATTATTTGAACAGATGATAGCAGTTGGCTGTTTGAGTCTAGACAACTTGAGATTCAGGGTCCATGAGCTCAAGTTTTTATTTTCTAGTTCTTATTCAATTCTTTGATAAAAATTTTAAATTTCTTTATTTCCTAGTTATAACCTACCTTAAAGACATATTATAAAAAGTAACAGGACTAATAAGTGAAACATATTAAGAGATGTTTTGTTGTTTGGTGTCAAATGATGGAATAGTTCTTTAGAAGTCTACTTTTATAAAGTATGAAGTCTAATACTTTTATAAAAGAGTATATTAGAGACTTTAAGTTTCTATGCTTGTAAAGACTATTATATATAGGTTTTAAATCTAAAATACTTTGAGATATGATTTTTATCTCTTTAGTAGTAATTTTGAGGTGAGATAACTAGCAGTCTTGCTCATTGTACAAATGAAAAAGAAAGGGAAAAATAAGTTATAAAGAATTTAAATGAGTTGCCCAGGGTCTAGAGTATGAAACCCAGTGAAAATGGCAAGTTTGGTACATGTCCCTTCTCCTCTATCCCCGCCCCCCCCAAAAAAGCTAATTATTTCTTAGTAATTCTGCATTCAGTTTGTGGTATGCTTCTTTTGTTTACAGCTCATGGTGATAAACAAGATAAAGTCACACAGAAAGCATTTGTGGAGCCATATTTTAAAGATGATGAAAGGTAAGTTGGTCTTGGTAAGTACTAGCAGTGTCATTGGAAGTAAGACCGCTTTCTTTGTCAGAACATAATGCAGTGTGTCCCTTTACCTTATGACCCTAACAAAACTGGAACTCGAAGTTTATAAAAGTGACAAATTTTATAAATAGGGAAATTTTTACCACCACTACCCTTTTTTAAATAATAGTCATAGTTATTTCCTCTGCTTTATTACCAAAAAATGTTCTATTTTATTGTGAAGTTTATGTGAACTTTGGGAATTTTTTAAATGTATAACTTTAAGACTTTATTTAGGTGGTAAGCCTTAGGTTGTGCTTCAGAATTATAAGGATTTTTATACCTTCAAGGCAAGTTGATTTTGAACCATAATGCTACATTCTGCTAATTCTGTAACTTTCAATCATGTACTGTCCATTCTAGAAGCAAATTAAGGCATAGTAATTCATTCCAAAATTTTTCTGTGCTTTTTTTTTTTCCTTTAAGTTATGATGATAACAAAATTGAGCCTACTCAGTAAGCAAAGTTATTCACTATACATTTATTTCTGTCAATTTTAGAAATCTGACAGACCAAGATATATTTTTATTGATGTCTATAAGACTCTAATAGATAACAAGTATTTATTTTGTGGCTAAATAATTATTTTTCTTTATTTACCAGTTTTTCAAAGAAATAGTATCATAGCATCTCAAGTATGAATAGGTTTTTTTGTTGTTGTTGTTTAAGTTTATCATTACAAACTCATGGATTTATATGTATTTGATGTTTCAGTCCATTGCAGTTACTATACGTATTGATATTGAAATTGTCCCATCTTTCCCCACTTGAAGCCTCTTTGAATAGATGCTCCTCTAGTCATCTTTCATAGCTTCCTTGTTTCTGTTGTGACAGATGTCCCTTATATACTTCCTACCACAGGCCTAGAATTTACCAGAGTCTATCATTTCTCCCAGAGCCCTAGTTTTTTGGGGTTTTGTTCTATTTTGTTTTTAAGTGAAAAATAGTATTTAGGCCACAGTATGGCCATTAGGGTTGCTCATTGTAGCTGCTAGTCATTGTTTCTAGACCAAATTTTAGGTGGACAGAGTTAAAAATAAAGTTTTTGTTTATTTTGTCTTGTACGATGAACTACACTTGTTTATACTGACAGCTGCAATTCAAGCTCAGGACTACAGGATTTTTACCTAACTTCCTGTGTCACATCGGTACCTACTTTCCCGCCTGAGAATTCCGCCTTGGGGTGCCACTGACATCATTTCTCATTTAACTTTATTCCACAATGCACACACAAAACAGTTTCAGAATAATACAGACTGTCACCAAGCATATGATTTAAGAAAATGGCTTAAGACTTTTTTATGTCTTTTTATTTTTAAGATATATCTTATCAGAATTGTATAGTGAACTCACTGTGTTATAAAGTCACTTCAGATACTTGTTTTCTGTGTCATTATGCCACCAACCCAGTACCCAGGTTTTATTTTGCTTTTTATTTTTTAGGAATTGTTTTATCTTTAACTATTTCTGAAATTAGGTAAATTATGTGCATGGTACCAGAGGCTACAAAACAGGGTATATTCAAATAAGTCTAACTTCATATCTGTTAGCTTTTCCCTGTTAGCTTCCTATCCTTGAAGGTAACCATTTGTTTGAATTTATGATCTTCCATCTGTTTAAAAAAAAGTTTTTATTCTTACATATATTTATATTTTATATATATATAAAATATATCAGTATATGTGTATATATCTGTGTCTGTATGTGTATGTGTGTGTGTATATATGTACATATATCTCAGCGTATAGATATTTGTAGCCACACTCTATCCCCTTAGACAAATGGTAGAATGCTGTATATGCTTTTCTCTACTTTGCTGTTTTTATTTAAATCACTCATCATAGTATGTATGCTTTCCTCATTTCTTTTTTTAGTTTCATAGTACTTGATTGACTGCACCATAGTTTATTCCTACTAATGGGCATTTGGGTTGTTCATTGTTATGCTAGCATGCATAGTGCTGCAATGAATGGCCTTGTGCATTCTCTTCTCAAGTTCTCACCTGTGCATCTTTGGGATAGATTCCTAGAAGTAAGATTGCACAGTAAAGACTGTCATTTCAGATGTTTTATATTAAAAGTTCATTAACTTTTGTAATAAATATGTGATTAGTTTTATTTATTCTGAAACTGTTAAGTATTTGGAGATGCAGGAGGTGGATAAAGATATAGGCGTGGTGAAAGTCTCTGAGTTAGCATGGTTCCTTTCCCCACTGAGAATACAAACCCTGGGTAGATGGGTTGTGCTGTGTCTGGGACAAGAAGCTTAGTAACCTTTAGGTGATGCTTTGACATCTACTACAGATGCCAGTTTGCTAGTTAATTTGCTGCTGTATTATAGTACACATAGAAGCAGTATAGATAGTATTCAGAAGAAAGAATATGGCTAAATGACATTCTATGTAAACTTACAATTCCATTACTCTTTGAAAGAAAATATAGATATGGCAATATTTCTGTCTAACCTTTCTTGATCTTCCTTTTCAAATTCATAGATTACTCCTTGGGTTTAGGCACAAAAGGCCTATAACTTAATATATTTTGAACTAGAATGATTAAAGCATTTTTTTATTCATATATATATATATATATAATTGATTATGCTACTACAGTTGTCCCATATTTTTCTCCCCTTTATTCCCCTCTGCCCTGCACCCCCCTCCCACCAGCATTCCCCTCCCCACCTTAGTTCATGTCCATGGGTCGTACATATAAGTTCTTTGGCTTCTCTATTTCATGTACTATTCTTAACCTTCCCTTGTCTATTTTGTACCTACCAACTACGCTTCCTATTCCCTGTACCTTTTTCCTCATTCTCCCCTCCCCCCGACACCCTCTGATCTCCATTTCTGTGATTCTTTTCCTGTTGTAGTTCTTTGCTTAGTTTGTTCTTAATTTTATTTTATTTAGGTTCAGTTGTGGATAGTTGTGAGTTTGTTGTCATTTTACTGTTCATAGTTTTTGCTCTTCTTTTTCTTAGATAAGTCCCTTTAACATTTCATATAATAAGGGCTTGGTGATGATGAACTTCTTTAACTTTACCTTATCTGAGAAGCGCTTTATCTGCCCTTCCATTCTAAATGATAGCTTTGCTGGATAGAATAATCTTGGCTGTAGGTCCTTGCCTTTCATGACTTTGAATACTTCTTGTCAGCCCCTTCTTGCCTGCCAGGTTTCCTTTGAGAAATCAGCTGATTGTCTTATGGGAACTTCTTTGTAGGTAACTGTCTCCTTTTCTCTTGGTGCTTTTAAGATTCTCTCCTTATCTTTTAATCATGATGTGCCTTGGTGTGTGCTTCTTTAGGTCTAACTTCTTTGGGACTCTCTGAGCTTCCTGTATCTCCTGGAAGTCTATTTCCTTTGCCAGACTGGGAAAGTTCTCCCTCATTATTTTTTGAAACAAATTTTCAATTTCTTGCTCTTCCTTTTCTCCTTCTGGCACCCCTATGATTTGGATGTTGGAACGTTTAAAGTTGTCCCGGAAATTCCTAAGCCTCTCCTCATTTTTTTGAATTCTTGTTTGTTCATTCTGTTCTGGTCGAATGTTTATTTCTTCCTCCTGCTCCAAATCATTAATTTGAGTCCTGGTTTCCTTCCCTTTACTGTTGGTTCCCTGTTTGTTTTTCTTTATTTCACTTTACATAACCTTCACTTTTTCCTCCATTTTGCAACCATACTCAGCCATTTCTGTGAGCATCCTCATTACCAGTGTTTTGAACTCTGCATCTGATAGGTTGGCTATCTCTTCATAACTTAGTTCTGTTTTTGGAGCTTTGGTCTGTTCTTTCATTTGGGCCATATTTCTTTGTCTCAGCACACCTGTTATGTTATAAGGCGCAAAGCCTTAGGTTTTCAACAGGGCAGGGCAACCCATGTCACTGGGTTGTGACACTGTATGTGGGGGGAGGAGTCTGAGAGGGAACAGTGCCACTTGCTCAGCTCTCTGCTGACCTTTGGTAACTTCCCCCACTACGACAAGGAAAGTGGGCCCTTCTGGTGCTGATTGCCTGGTGGATGGGTTTGTATACATTCTGGGACCCTGTGGGTATCTCCAATGAACTCTCCTGTGAAGCTGGGGGTTTCTCCCACTACTGCATCCCCCACAGGTTTTTACAGGCAGAAGTTTTAAGGCTTTCTTTTCCTGCACTGGAACCCTGGATTACGTGGTCTGTCTCACTCTCTAGCCGTTCCTCTCAGTTTATCTGTCCGCAAATAGGAGGGGTGGGACCACCTGGTCTTCCAGCCACCACCCTGCCGTGCATCCTCTCCACCCCAGCGGCCCATCTCCACCCCTCCTATCAGTCTGGATGAATGTTTCTTCTTTAACTACTTGGTTGTTGGATTTCCATACAGTTTGATTTTCTGGCAGTTCTGGTTATTTTTTGTGTTTAAATTTTTTGTCTTTCTTTTGGTTGTGCGAGGAGGCAAAATGTATCTACCTATGCCTCCATCTTGGCTGGAAGTTAATGCTTTTTTTTTTTTTTTTTTTTTTTTTTTTTTAAGAAAAGTGCTAGAGGGGCTTTTGACCAAAATACCTCAAAGTATAATATGTATTACCAGCAAGTCATTCTTAAAAAATGAGTGAGTTACACTGTTTAAACTCACTGGGGGTGTTTCTATTGTTAACGTATATATATGCCATTACATAACTTTTTATCTATCTTGTCATTTTGGATTTTTCTGTATTTTTTTAAATCAGGATACAAGTATAATAATAATAATAATAAAAATAAATGTTCTTTGCTTCCATGGCTTTTTCTTCACAAAGTACTCCACTCCTCTTTAATCCATAACTCAGTGGCTTTGAACCTTCCTAGGTTTCCAGTGGTTCACAATAGGATCTGATCCATTTAAGGACAAATATAAGTGATAATTTTGCCTAATATTTTGAAGAATATAGGGTAGATGGGAGCAGCATAACAAATTTTGAGAGCATATAACAAATGACATACAAATAGATGAATCTGTTCTTTGGCACAGAGTAGATTAGCCCTGAAATATGGTTTCTTTATTGCCAATTTAACAGAAGCAATAGTGTCTTTCATGGTTATGTTATAGGATACCAATTCCTGAGTTTAATAATATAGTATTCCTTTTTAATTAGGCTATTTTATATTTTATTTCCTAATCTGGTTATTATTCTCAGCCAGTGAGAGGCAAAAATAGAAAGTATTAGCTAATCTTTTTTAGAGAAAAATATCCATAAAAACACCTCATATATAGTAGGCACTTAATAAATATTTAATGAAGAATGAATGAAGAAATATTTGTTTTTCTAACATTGAATAAACATTTCAAATAAGATGAATGATTGTTTTGGGATTGTTTAGGGGCTCTCGCCTTTGTTAATTTAAGACCTAGACCAAAGATCTTTGTTGTAACAAATAGATTACCACTAATTTTAAATTTAATTCATCTTTTCCCCAGAGAGACTGGCTTACAAAAGTTTCCTCATATTGAGGTGGTTCGGAAAAAAGAAGAGAGAAGAAAATTGCTTGGACACACATGTAAGGAATGTGAAATGGTAAGTACTACTATCAGTACTGTTCAGTTGGGAGTTTTTTACAGTACAGCTTTATGTATCATGAATGCATGATTTAAAAATCATACGTACAAATTATATTTGTATCTAGAAACCTAGTTTAAGGCAGGAATGACAGAGTAAATAAATAAAGAGTATACTGGCTGGGACCAGAGAGACATAAAAATTAAATAATAAATATTAAAGTCCTTCCTTAATTTCTCTTAAATTTTTATTAGTGAATCTGGAGTCTAAGAACAAGTTCTTATTACCATCTTAAGACATTTGTGCCATTTTTCTTTTCTATATTTATATATTTTTTATATTTTTTCCCTTTGGGTTACATTACAGCAAAGGCTCTTACATATTTACTTTTGGGGAAGGAGGGAATTTTAATATTTCAACAGGAAACTTTATAAAATTTATTATTCACATCAGCACTCTCTGGAAATGAGATATACTGATAATTTTTTTCCCTCTAAATAACAGGTACAACCATAAGCTCTTATTTTTTCCCCATTTTCCTTTCTAAACAAAAAGAAACGAAAAGACTACTTCATCCTTAGAACATAATTATATTTTTCTTTTCTACATTGGCTGTCTTAGATAGTACAATTGTAATATATAGTTAATACTAATCATCCTATTACGAAATAGTTCCATGCAGATTCTGTATTTCCTTGAAATATGCTGTTTTTATTTCCTCCCTGTATTCATTAGCTATCAGATGTCAGCTTTCAACTTTACTTTTTAACAACTCTGGGCTAGGAAATTTGATAACTATAATTATTATATTATTATATAATTATTATATAAGCACATTAAAGTTATGTTTGACTAGATTGCAGAACAGGTAAGCATTTGGTGAGAAATATGCTCTCATACACTAAAAGTGGGAATTTAAATTGGCATCACTATTTTGGAAAACTGTTCAGCACTACAAGCTGAGCCCCATGTATCATGAATTTTTATACACGAATATATTATGATTTCTAAACTAAAGAACATGTTCTGTACTAAGTAAACATGCAGCTTGTAGTTATAACCATAATTCTTTATAATCTCAAACTAATATTACCAGTTAAGAAAAATTCTCCTTTACTAGAAACAGTTAATTGCTTTCCTTCTCCCAGGAATAATTTCCTTTGCTGTCTGTTTTACAGTCTCTGAAAAACATTGTTTCATACACTTTATTCCACTATTTTAGTTTAAGGTAGGAGGGTAAATCTACTCCCTCATGACCATGAGTAAAAGTGCCAGTCCCATGTGTTCAAACATTCCCTATAATCTTGCAGTTTCTAAATGTATCCCATTGCCTATTCCACATGTAGAATATGTAATACATATGTGGATGTGTAATAATCATCTCAAATTTCACATATTCAAAAGCAAATACCCAATTTCTGCCTCTAATTCCCAAACCTCACCTTTGTGTTTGCTATATGCCCATTCTGCTAGTTGTATAAAACATAAATCTTGTAGTTATTCTCTACTCTTTCTCTCATAGGTCAGTAACTGATCTGTCAGCAAATCCCACTGACTGTGCCTTCGATAGATAGCCTATCTTCAGTCACTTACTACCTCCACCACTAACCCCCGGACCAAGGCATCGTGTGTAGTCTGAACTTTTGAAAAAGCTTCTCAGTGCCTTCCTTGTGTCTTTTTTATTAAACCATTTTGTAGAACAGTTGTAGGTTCACAGCAAAATTGAGTAGTAAGTACAGAGAGTTCCCATATACTCCCACACCCATTTTCCTTTTCTTTTCATTCTTCTCTCTTCCCAGTGTACTTCTAATACGGCAGTGAATGGGCTTTTTCCTAATGATCTTTTTAGAATAAAAGTTAAATCATGTCGCTCCTCCATCTAGAATGTTTAAATGTCTTCTCATCTCACTGATAAATAGAATCTAAAGCCCTTATAAGGGACAGCAGACCCTGGCATCCCACTTTTTTTTCTGACTTCACCTTCACTCTCTCTCCCACTTGCTCACTGTGTTACAGCCACACTAGGCTATGTTGTTTTTGAAGATGTTGTAGTTGGGTGATAGTGTTTCTCCAACATTGATTAATAACTGCGATTCTCTAAGGGCATCCCAGTCCACTTCCCAGGCCAAAGTAACAAAGGCAATGAGAGTGATGAAAAGATGCCCCCCAAAAGTTATTTCAGAGATACTCTAAAAGCCTTTAATTAAACTACATAAGAAAAAAAATGTATGAAAAACGTTTACTTCAAACTTAATTTTCGTTCTAAGTCTGCCACTTTCAATAGGTGATATCTTTGGTAAATTATCACTTTGATGTTTAGTTTCTCAACTATAAAATGAAATTAGCTGGATTATGTGATCTTATATTTGTGTTCTCCTAAACTTCACACTACTGCTTTGTTTTCTTTAGATCTAGAGCTTGAAGACCTGTGCATTTTATACATATAAGTTTTATCCTTGTTCGCATGAAGTTCAGGGTCTTTATGATTGCACTTACAAAAAATTACATTTCTTTGATCCTAATTGAAAAGTACATTTTAAGGGGAAAGTGATGAAGCCGATAGCATTCAGAGCTTTTAAATTTTTATTTTAAAAAACTGTAGGGAAAGGAAAATTACTTAAACACACATTATATCCAAACAACAATTGAGACGGTGCTATTCAAAGTGCAGGCCTCTGCATTTCTGTTACTGGTCCGATAAAGGGGAAGAGTTTGCACCAATAAGTAAATCAGCTGTGTCACTAAGCACATTGTAAAGTTCAGCTGACTTTTTCTTCCATTTTAAGACTTTATTGATGAAGGAGACATTATGTTGATTTACATTGTAATACAATCTCCTTTTCTCATTTGCGAAACAAGCATTTCACAGACCAGCACTAACTACTCTTAGTAATTGATATTACTATCATCAAGGAGTATTAAGTTTACTTAGCACGCCTAATATTTTAATAAATAGATTTCTTAGCTTCAAGTTTATAATCTGTACACACAACGCTCCATTTATTATTCCTAAGTGAAAAACTTACCAGTTTTTATTATTAGTATTATGCAGACATTCCAACAGAGGAAAGAGAAAAGAAGTTGGCTTCCTGTTCAAGACACCGATTCCGCTACATTCCACCCAACACACCAGAGAATTTCTGGGAAGTTGGTTTTCCTTCCACTCAGACTTGTATGGAAAGAGGTGAGAGTGTAGATTATAATATTTTCAAATTAATTTTTTAAATACAGATATCCCCAAGTCTAACTTTTTCTCCATGGTTCTCCTAACCTTAGGTAATAGTTTTGTGACATAAAAACAAATTCCGAAAGATAAAAGGCTTACCTTCAACTCTTCAAGTAATTTCATTGGAATCAGAGATTGTTTATAACAACCTTAGCATGGTTGTGTGTGCATGATCCTGGTTTATCGTTCAAATTTGAGAGAGCAATTGCTCTTTCATGCTATCATCAAAATGATTTCTAATAAAATAGTTTTATAAAAGTTGCCAGCAAAGTTTTATCTTTTTAAAGCAACTATGAATTTAAGATTTTAAAACCTCATTTACCCAGAATGCTGGTTATTTTGAAACCATCTGTGAGTAAACAAGATGGTTTGCTTTGTTTGTTTGCTTGGAAAATTGTTGACATTCAACTAGCTCCTTCAAAAGTCACACTTATATTTAATACAATTCGAGAATGTATGTAACTTTAATGTTTCAGATATTTAGTGGTAAGACAGTTTTTCCAAAAGGTACAAAGTCTTTGACAGCCATTACTATATTTTCATTTTGCCCATTAACAAGCCAGAGTAAGCCCCTTTGATATGATGTCTCTGCCTGGTCCTCTTACAAAGTTAGACAGTCTGCATGAGAGCCTGTGTTTGCACCGCTAATATGGCCTAGCAGTATGGTTGGGGGACAGTTCCCTCCTGCACACTATGTGATTGTACACACCAGAGGAGAGGCAAAGAGCCTGAAGAGCAGGGGCTTGTCATCTAATGAAATAGCTACTACAAAAAAGTCTTTTTGATAAGCACCTGGAATTTATTGTAATAATGAAGTTTGTGTTTAGCCATTGTCCCCATTGCAGCCTGTGGGAGGCAGATTAGGAAAGTGTTTAAGAACTGTGGTTCTGGAGTCAGACAGATCTCAGGCAAAGTCCCAGCTCTTCACTTCCTAGCTTTGGGAACTTGAGTAATCAAACTTTCCTGGGTCTCCATTACCTCATCTGTGAAATAGGTATAGTGGAAACTACTTCAAAGGAATGTGAGTGGTAGCTGACGTAATGTAGATAACACATTTCATAAATGTTTGTTGCTACTGTTAGTATAAATGAGGAAAATGATGGTATGTAGTGAAATCATTTGTCAGCATTATTCAGCTAATAATCAGAAGAATCATATAAACTTACAAGGCATTAAGTAAGACAAATGTGTACTGGATGTGTGCTGAAAGGAATCTATGTTGCAAATATAGTCTTCTTAATTTGTAATTTGTTTTTAAGGTTACATTAAGGAAGATCTTGATCCTTGTCCTCGTCCAAAACGACGGCAGCCTTACAATGCAGTCTTTTCTCCAAAAGGCAAGGAGCAGAAGACATAGATGTTGAAGCAAAAAACATGATAGAGAACAATTTCTTCTGTCTGGGTATTTATAGCTAATGGTGATATTAAACACTTATTTTTTTAAATCTTCTGTAAAATTTATAAATCACTTTTGTTGAATATGTTTTTAAATCCCATTTACCCACCAAACAACTACGGTATGGATAAGTTTCTTTTGTGTTTTCCTGCTCTTGCACCTTTAAACAATAAGGGGCTTTCATTTTGCACCTTAACTTAAGAATTGTTTGGTATTGCCTAATTATAATTTTGAAAATATGATCATTATAGTCTGTGATTTGTTACCTTTCATATCTTTTCTTTTTACTCTGTCTTCCATTGGTATTTACATATGCAGCGGCTTCCTGTTAATCATTACAAATTTTCATTCACTAAATCAGTTGCTCTTCTTCAGGTCATTCCAAGTCTCACATTAAGTCATTTAAAAAAAGGGCTAAATTTTAATAGTCATTTTAACTTTCCAGCTTTTTTCTTTTGTTGGCTTGAAGTACTACTGTATAGAATGTTCCTTTTGAGGTGACCACAAATAGTAACTTTTTCCTTTTGCATGTAATATAAGTTAACATCATTCTCTGATCTGATTCTAATATTCTAGCTTCTCTCATGATTTCTTTTCATTATACTTTTTTTCTGGTGCAGTTTTCAAGCTGAATTTGTTGAGTTCTCTGCTCATATGTTCAAGTTCAGTTTATTGTTTCTCTTGATTGACTAATGTTATGAACTTCCAGTTTGGCAACAAAATAGATTTCTCTAGCAACTTTCTATCACTCTTGGACTTAATGTGTGAGTCATTAAGATGACTAAACACATTTGTGTCATCTTTTCTGGTGGCATGTTGTTTCTCGATGTCTTTTTTCTATATCCCTTTAATTCATATCTTGATAGTGTTGCCGTATTTTGCCATGTATAATGTGTGCTTTTTTGCCCCGATTTTTGAGGAAAAAATAAGGCACATTATACATGAGTAGTACCCAAAATACCTTGTATCTATTCTTGCATTTTGTAATTATTTGTTACATAAAATTTCTTGTACCATAACGTGTTAAAAAAAAATGCTAAAATTCCTTTATAATACAAAAAAAGTGTCTAAATAAAATAAATAATGGAATTTAAAAAGTAAAATGAAAGATTTTTTTTCCTGAAAGTGTGGGCGAAAAATGTGGATGTACATTATACATGGGAGTGCATTGTATGTGGCAAAATACGGTATATTGAGAAGAAGTACATGAGACACTGAATGGAATACCTCATTAAAATCTAAATAATCTTACGAGTATAATCTATACTTTTCAGAGATCCTAAAAAATTTCTTTGCTTAGTCTTTTCTTGCTTATTGATCAAGGTTCTCATGTGACTAAATGACATCAGTTTGTGTTCAGGGGATTGGAAAAGAAATGACATATGTTGAGTACCTACTATATGTCAGATCCCCTGTGTACAGTATTTGGCTCTGAATGTGATCCTGAATTTTTTATAACCCTATTATAACGTCTATTCAGCACTTTTCTTTCCTTTCCAAATTGTTCATCTGTCCTGTTTGATTTTTGTTCTCTGCTGGCTATTATTTAATCTCCCCCAAAATAAGAGAAATCATTCATTAGCTACATACTCTATGCCAGGAACTGTACTATGTGCTAATAACTGAGAGATGAAGTTAGAGCCTGAGATTGCCTCATTCAAGAATTAGATCTTGCACCTGCTCTAGTCAAGAGCTAAAGACCAGGAGTCTGAGAGGTACCTGGACTTGAATAGGGCATCACCAGGCTGTGCAATTAGAGCTCCAGTGGATTTCACTATTTTAAAAGCAGCCTAAGCAGACACAGCAAGACACTGTTTGAGAGTAGCTTGACTGGTTAGCAGTCCAACTCTATAACTAGCATGTTCATTTTATCATCAGTCACCTTGTAAAAGGTTAGATAAACTAGGATCTCTCCCTTTCTATCTGCAACTGACTAGCTCTACCTTTAAGTCATGAAATAGATTCTTTTTTAAAACACTTGAGTAGAAGGATACAGTTAAATGCAAAATTGGAGTGTAGGACAGCTGTGCACTTCCAAACTTTTCTCTAAAGCGATAATGTATATATGCCCTGGCTGGGTGGCTCAGCTGGTTGGTGTATCATTGCGTACATGAAAAGATTGTGGGTTCAATCCCCAGTCAGAGCACATATGAGAGGCAACCCATTGATGTTTCTCTCTCTCTGTCCTCTCCCTTCTTCCTTTCCTCTCTCTCAAAAAAAAAGAAGAAAAAGAAAAAAATAAATAAAAATATATCCTCAGATGAGGACTTTCAAAAAATATAATGTATATAAAAGGGCTTTTATTCATTTGTAAAGCATTATACATTAGATAATATTTTCATACAAATATGTTTATCACTGTGTGTGTATATATGTTCGTATGTCTATATATAGTTTAAGATTGCCTGTGAGCTTTTTAAAGTTGAAGACTTCTGATTTAAACTTTGAAAAGCATGCAGAACCTATGTGTCAACACTTAACAATTGAGTAACACCTTCCTGCCTTTAAACAAGCAGGTATTTTGATTAAACCATTTGATACCTAAGATTGTCAAAGACAGCAGTCTGGATGAGTTAATGATGGATGCCTAGATAATATGGTCCATCGAGAGAGCAAATAAAGCAGGAGAATATTCCCTAACACCTTTCATGTAGCGAAAAATTTTTCCCAAAGTCCAACTGTAAATGCTGCTATTGGTAGGCTTAATGTAATAATAACTCAATTTAAACTGCATCCAACATATGTATATAAAAATGCAGAGAGGACATTCTTAGGCCCTCTAAATGAAATAACTGAAACACTGCAAAGATCCCTCCCCAGGTAGTCTTTAATTCATAATTCAGTTACAAAAAAGGGAATAGTGTGACATAAACCAAATACCAGTCCATTTATTTAACAAACATTTATCAAGCACTTTACCAGGCACAATACTAAGTATAGTATCAGACTCAGGCAAAATTTGACAAGTTTCCTTCAAAGGAACGAGCTTTTAAAGAAACACACATCTAAGAATCTTACTCTGTTATCCCTGACATATGAACATATAAAGGATAGATTTCTTTTGAAAACTGCCACTTTAGAAATAAGCATTTGAAATATATGTCAAATTTTACCATCCAGCTGTGTATTTTCAACAATTCTAGTGGTTTAAGGGACATCTCAAAATCTTTGTCTTTGCTGAGCTGATGCCCTTAGAATGGTTCTTTAGAAAACTGAAGTGTCCTGTACTGGAGTCCTGCAGCATGCACTTAAGCAGTTATGTGTGGTCACCAGCAGAGGCCAGAAGAGAGCTATTTTTGAAGAATGATCGGTGGAAACTAGGGGCTGAATGGGAGTATAAAAAAAAATTTCTAGGATAAATATATGAGTTGGGAACCTTTAGTACAGTTGTGAAAGGTTTTGGGGCAAAAAGCAAGCTTTCAACGTAGCTCTAGTTGGAATAAAACACATGGCAGAGGCAATAATTCATGGTCCTGAGGACAAAAATATTGACAAACATGCCATATGCTAGGCATTTAGGAATACAAAGAGATATGTGAGATCCTGTTATTACCTAGAGGGGGACTAAGCATAAATATTAAAAAAAAAAAAAAAAAAACTCCTAAGAGGTCAAAGAAGCTTAGACTGAGTACCAAAGAAATATTAAGGATAATGAGGATCTGAACGGTGCCTTAGTGTGAGTTACCCCAGGGATGCAGAGAGGGAAAGACAATCCAGCTGCATTGGGAGACTAACCTGAATATGGAAATGGTAACATACCAAGAGTCAGAAGGAATCTTGGAGATTATTTGGTTCCAGGCCTTCACTTTATAAAGAAGAAACAAAAACCCAAAGAGAGTTAGTGACTTGCAAGGTCCCAATGAGCTGGAACTAGAATGTCATCTGGAACCTCAGTCTGGTGCTTTTCCCCCTTGGTTCCAGGAAGCACATGCAGGTTTGTGTTAGTACTGAGGCAGTAAGCTTGTGTCTTAAAGGCAAGACTAAAGAATTTAGAGTTGAGTCTTTAGGCCTTCAGACCATTAGTAGCAGGCTCCTTTATTCAAATCCTACACAGAACCCCAGTGAACAAGGATGTTTTAAAGGCATAAGTGTATTTCAAGCATTCGAATTTATCACCTTATTAATCCAATTAGTAAGACTGGATAAATAACAAACTTGTGAAATGGGTTATGGATGGCAGGTTACATCACCTCAGCACCCAGGACAGCACCCAGACAAATGTTTGCTGCACCCCAGACCAATTAAATCAGTATTTGGGGCAAGTTCCAGGCGTCGCTATTTTTTTAAAAAGCCGCTTAGGTGATTCAAGTATGCAGCCAACTTTGAGAACCACTGTCCTAAATCGCTGTTATAGGCTAGTTCAATGGTATTCAAACAAGCGTGCATCAAAATCACCTGGAAACCTTATTTAAACCGCGTGTTACTGGGATTTACCTCCAAGTGGGCAGGAGCCCAAAATATACATTTTTCACATTTCCAGCAGATGCTAATGCTGCTGGTTCAAGGACCACACGTACCGTATCAAAGTCACCCAGATGCTTGATAAATAGAGATTCGCAGGTTCCTCCTATAGGGATTTTGATTCAGGTATACCCTGTGCATTTTTATTTTTTAAGTTGTCAGAAGATCATTAGTATGAGGCAAATCTAAGAAATGATGCCTAAAATGAAAGGGTAAATTAAGTAGCAAAATGTTAAGTTTTCAGGCATCCCTTGACTGAAAATCATTAGTTGTGCAGTAATGCATTAATTTAGAAATGATCATCAGGCAGCAATATACGATTAACTGTTGACCACATGTTTGCACTGATAAGTATACATCTGGCCTTCCATATCCCCGGTTTTTGCATCCTCAGATTTAAGCAACTTCAGATTGAAAAACAGTATTTTCCACCCATGGCTGGGCATCTGTGGATGCAGAGGGCCTCCTGTATGCATTGTTCTTCCCCATTTTATGTAAGATATTTGAGCCATTTGCAGGC